AGAATTCTTACCATATTTGACTTTAGTAAGTACAAGAACCACATTTCGGTAGGAATTCGGTCATTTTCACACTAACCCTGTTATTGTGTAACTCACACTATTAGCAGTCTGTCCTAGAAATCTGGGGGTTAGCACCAGACATAAAAGTTGCAGAAATATTGACAACCAGGGAGTGAGTTTTTCAGTTTGCTCACTAACAGCCAAGGGAGGTAGCCCTAAACACAAAGAAAAGGTATTGATCTCTAGAATAAAAAAATCTTTAAGAGAAGGAAACAGGGACCTGGCATTTGTACCATAACCATTTCAGTAAGATGAAGTGGTTATGGTGTGTAGTGTATCTTTAATAAAGTATTACACTCCCTCCAAAGAGCTATATGCCCTCACAAAGGCAATGTCAGCACATAATATTGAAAGTCCATTGTAGCAGAATGGACCTGCTATCATATTTTATATCAGCTCTGGGCTGTCCATATCCCCTTTTTCCCCCTCTTCTTGATCCCCTTTGTGTGAAAGTAAATATAACTGTGCGAGACATACTCCCCTGGCTTTGCAACATAAGGTTTCCCCTGTTTCACCTGGCCATTCATCAAAATCCATTCCCTTAAGTGGTTCCCACGGTTTTATTCATCAACCGAACAAACTACTGAACGGTAGACCACCCAGCTATGGAGTGTGCCGCTCATTAACTCAGTTCACACCTCCATAAATCACAATCACACAAACGTTCTAAGCGGTCGGCTGGGTGGTTGCCGTTTGTAGAGACAAGCACGTGGCGGCGGCCATCTTGGGACACGAACAAAGGCAGCGGTGCGCACACCGCTGGGACTTCCACCTCCACCTAAGTTCACCTAGAAGTGCACGAATTAAGCGCTATTCGGTAGAAACAATCTACCGAACCAGATACATCCAATGAAGCTATGCACAAACGGATCCGTTCATGCAATTTACACATTATTTGACTAAGAAGATATACCGGCCGCACAGCCTAATTCTCTGGAACTCTTTTGGGCATGAAATCATGCGTGCGGTCGGTCAAAAGTGACTTCCAAGTAATTTGTGAAACCCTGTTTTGATCTGCGTGATTTTTTGATATGTTGTTCTCCCAGACCATTTATGGGGATATGTCATGTTTTTGGGGTACTGCTAGAATCTTTTGAAATATGTGGTTTTCCTGCCTGGAGATAATTGAGTTATTACATTATCTACCTCAATTATCTACCAGGCAGAGGGGAGGGCTTGTACATACTGTATGGGAGTGTCTCTATGTATAACCTTGTTTCATTGGTCTGTTAACTTTGTGGCTCGGTGCCCCACAAGGTCCACCTGGGCGGTAACCTTGTGGGGAAAATCACATAAAAGACAGTGTACCACCATTAAACTTCAGTTATTCACCCAAAACCGAGTGCCATCCAGTTACTGGGGAGGTGTTAGGAGAATCTTGTCTTGCCTTGCTGTATTTAGCTGTTCCTGTGAAGCATCTTCTTTGTTCCTGAGTTCATCTTGGAGAAACCAGCGGAGAAAAGTCCCTGCTAAGACTAGCACTCCGCTACATCCATTGTTTTCTTATATATTAACATGACTAGAACAGAACTCTGTGTCTCACTAGACGAGTACTTATGTTTGAGTTCAATCTGCTGGTGAGGTGACGATGACCACAAGTCTGCTGGGAACACATTTACATCTGATGGTACAGGGTAGCTTGAGTCTTCTTCTATGATCTGCTGTCAAAATGTTAGGAATTAGATTTTTCCCAAAAGTCTAAATTATACGCAACTGAAATCTGGAGAAATCTGGTGAAATTTAGGATAAAATAGCCAAGCTTTGCTTATAATGGAGAATTTGTCCAGATCAGCTACTTTTGCCTAAAGTTTGCAATTTGGATTTTAGTTCAGTACAATTTGAAGCTCAGTGAATAAACTTTTTTCTACTTCAGTTTAGAAAGTAATTTTGATATCGCTAATTATTCTATAATGAGAATAACAACAAACACAATTTGCTCAAGATTTCACATTTAATTGTCAAAATATACACAATTTAATAAAAAATACTTTAAAATAGTATATGCACCAAAGCAAGTCGAAGAAGGAAACTAATTTGCCCATTGTGGACAATTTGGCAGGTGAGAAATGTTGAATATCAGACGTTACAATAGTAAAGCCAGCATACATGTAGAACACAGCTTGTCACAATGGTGGGTAAATAGAGGTTCACATTCTCTTTAATAATTATGAAAAAATAACATTATAAAATAAAAAAAAATCTGATAAAAGATAGGACACATTTCAATGATATCAGTGATCGTCTATCATAAAAAACATAATGGCAATATGTAATTTTAGCTACATGGACCAGTCTGTGAATGCATGAATAGTGTGCTCTATACATCAAAGATAAATTGGAAAGCAATAAGGCTCCAACGAAATCAACTTGTGCATTGTTCATTAACAACAGACAGGATAAGGAAAACAAAACAACAGAGTCAAATCTCTCTATATATTTGGTGAAGAGGAGTACTGGTCATCAATGTTTTGTTATGAAGTATGTGGAGCCAGTCAATCTTGAATAGGTAACTAAAAAACTAGATAGTGAGGCTAAGGTGGGCTTGCTCCACATTTGTAAAATAGCCTTATGACCTATTGCAGCAATTATCAGAAACAAACAGTGGTGTGCTATAAATAATACCTAACGGACCGTCAAAATCCTCAAAATTGAATCTGTAAATAATAAAAATACATAATAGTGCAGAACATCCAGTCTTAAATTTTAGTAAACATAGTGCAAATAATTTATATATGGTGTTTCCACTCACATTAACCAGAGCCTGTTCCACCTTGGCCCTGAGATTTTATGGCTCCACTTGAGAGGGTTGTATACTACACTTTGGTACTGAATGTATGAGAGTAGAATGCAATGGTCAGGACTGGGAAATGGGTTCAAAACTGTGGAGAGTGCCATTTAGTGCTAGTTAGGAATGTATGTAATTAGAGAGAGAGAAGTCCAAAAATTGAGTAGGTAGGAGTGGTGGTTGAATGAATTATGTAGTCAGGAGAAGTGTCTCAGTCTGCGTATGTGAAGTTCACTAGGACAGACCATAGACATGACCAAAGTTGGAAATAGGAAAACCAAGGAGGTGGAAGGTCTGGGATCTGCTACCTAATGGCCATCATGGTAAGTGCAGGTATTGTATAAAAGTTTACAGAGTAATGTAAGGTGTGTTTATTCAATGTGTCTCATTCAGTTAGTGGGTAGGTTGATGAACCATCTAGAAAGTTAAGGTTGCCTGTAAGTGGTTGAAATCATAACTGAGTAGTGTACGCTTGCACCTTCTAAATAGTTTCCATGACCTAATACCAAAACAAATGGTGTTAACTTAGGTTCTTGTATAGGACTGCATAACAGTAAATAGCTCTGACTACTCTTAAAATTGTTTCTCAAAAAAATTATTAACCAAAAAATAAGAAGTTAACCAAGGGAAAAAAGTAACCAATAAATAGAATACTTGCATTTTTTATAGAACGTTTCAATGACATGATAGTCAAGTGGCACATTTGTTTTTACCAAAACACTGTCAGTTAAATGATCATCTAATATTTAAAAATAAAGAAAAGGAATCTTGCTTTGCACTTACATCTTCTAGCATTCAAACATTTATTTTTTAGATGTAGAAGTACTTTTTCTTGGGGGGGAGGGGGATTAACCATTGCCATTGGTGCATACTACCAAAAAGTGTTTGCTCATTCTGGTTGGAGTAACCCTTGAAGAAACAATTGGGTGCCCGATCTGTGCCAAAAATAGAAAGTAAGGGGCAGGGCCTGATCGCCGAGATAGAGGGACTCAAACCACGTCGTCTCCTTTATATTTTACCAATGCTGGGCATCTAATTTACAGTTTGGGAGATGGGAATTCATGGAGCATCTTCCTAAGTGTGTGCCAGCTCTCCCAGACCTGGTCTGGCCAGGCTTCTCTTGTGTTCACAGGTCCCCCTCCCTGCCCCCTCCATCCCCATAGGTCAGTGGGATTATTCTGGTCCCAATCAAGGATGCCGTGCAAATCTACCTGATTTGGGCAGTTAAGTGAATGAGGATACATGATGGCCCCTGTCTTTGTTCCATTGCTGAGTTTGGAGGCTGAGTTGCCTAAGGAGCAGAATTGTACCTTCCTAAAGGCATTCGACATATGTAATAGATTTTGGAAAATTATTGAAGATTGGCAATGCAGACTCACTGCTTCCCCAGACCAGCTGGTTCTCCCAGAGGGAGCCTCGGTTGCCAGCTTACTACCTGGGCCTGGAGCCACGACGGTTTCTACACTTGAGCACAGTCCACACACTCGGGGGGCCCGCCATCCCTGCCCCTGTCAAGTCATCGGCTAACACTGTGCGGCTATCGAAGCGAGTTAATATGTAACTTGCTGCAATTAATGAGCCTAAAGCGAATTAGTTTACACTATTTCTTTCCATTGCTTGTTTTAAAAAAAATTTTGTTTTCCTTACTCATAGATGGTCTAAAGTATAATTTTTATTCTTCTGTATGCGAGTCCAGTTATACAAAGCTCCTTGGTGAATCTAATCTATGATCTTTAAATTCGCATGGCATCCTTACTTCTCACTTTCTACAAGTCTATGTCAAATCAAACGCACATCAGATATCTAAGCCTAATTATATTATTTCATGATTCAAGTCTGGTTCAGATGCATTACTCATATCTGTACTATTGATGTGTTGACTGGATCATATAATTCACCGTTTTCATAGCAGCATTGTATATCAGTTCAATACTGTTATTCCTGGTTATACTCATGGTTTTGCAGTAGTATAAAATGAGGTTTGTTATTCTGACATATATACGCATGTGTGTAGCGCTCATCAAATAATATTTTATTGCCACTCTGTATTGTTCTGCTGATACCTCAATATAAAAACAAAAAAAGAGATTGAGAAAAACAGAAATTGCCATGGATGGTGTGATGTTGTGGGGGTGCTCAAGCAGTGTATGCCATTTCAATCTTGTATACTGTTATAAGGCCTACAAGGCACAGGGAATATAAGCTTCTTTAGTAGAGTGTATGCTGGCTGAGGCATTTGTTTAAGACTTCCTGCTTGGCCTTCCTTCCTGCTGACATCTCTGTTTACTTTTGTAAGAATGGATAAAATATCTTCACCACTGTAAAAGAACAGATACACAGTTTAAAATGATGTCACGTATATCAGTTACATTTACCTGCACAAATGAAGAAAATGCCATTCTAGCCTTAAATGGTAATGAGCATATCAAATCATATTTTAAAGAGCACTTAAAGGACCACTATAGTGCCAGGAAAACAAACTTGTTTTCCTGGCTCTATAGGGTCGTTGTGTCCCCCCCACCCTCAGGGTCCCCCTCCCACCGGGCTCTAGAGTGAGGAAGGGGCCGCGCGCGCATTCAGCCAGTCCATAGGAAAGCATTCTCAATGCTTTCCTATGGACGCTGGCGTCTTCTCACTGTGAAAAATCAATCAATGAGACAGCCACTAGAGGCTGGATTAACCCTAAACTAAACATAGCAGTTTCTCTGAAACTGCTATGTTTACAGCAGAAAGGGTTAATCCTTGTTGGACCTGGCACTCAGACCACTTCATTAAGCTGAAGTGGTCTGGGTGCCTATAGTGGTCCTTTAAGTTGTACAAATAGTTTTGCTGAAGCAATATAATTAATAATATATAATTTTTACATGAATATTCCAAGCACCATATTTATTACAGCCCACTATAGTGGTTATGGTGTCAGGATGCCTTGGTACCCTCCCAGTGTAAGTATTCAAACCAACTGCAAATGGCTTGATTACTTGCCTGGAGGCTGCCGGTCTACAGTCACCTCTTTCTCTGCAGCCCAGAAGCTTCAGCATTAACCTGAGCCAAGAAGTGCAGCTCTAAGCTTATTGGCTGAGAGTGCTCAACTGATGCTCTTGGCCAATGAACCATTCCTACATTACAGTTTTTTGCTTAGAGGAACTAACAGACTCCAAGGAAAGAGGTAAGCAGCAAACAAAGAAATTGACTTTCCAAATACAGCGGTCTCACCTCTATCTCAACACTACAACTAGAATCGCACTACACTGAGCAAGGTAACAATGAAACAACATAAACGCTCACTGCTAGGGTGGATTCTCTGGGATTGTCAAGAACATCACAGTGTAAAAGAAAGCTAATAACGTCAGTTCCAGAAAAATATAACAGTGTCCAATTCTTCAATAAAATCAATATATAAAATGTATTCATCTCTTAAAGCAATACAATATGGATAAAGTAAGAATTTAAAGACAATTTGAACTTTAAGGCCAGACTAGCTGAACTGAAAGCATAACTAAATGTTCCAGTTCAGCTACTGTGACCATAAATTAGAATTTTGCATTGAATTTTCACTTTAGTGATTAATCCTGCGAGTGTCCTCCATACTGCAACTAAAGGAGCACTATAGTTAACATATAAAAGCAAGAAAGACAGGTCCCCTTGACTTCTTTCTTGCTATTATATTAACTCCCCCTTAATAAAAAATATTTTCAAGTCCTTATTATAGATAAAACTTACCTTACTTACTTACCAGCGCTGAGATCCTCGGAATGCCGCGCTCCCTTTTTAGAGAAGCGTCATAGTGATCTGGTGCGCATGGGTAGCTTCATGCTGCACCAATCGCTTTCTTCATAGAGCGGTATTGAATGCCACCCTATGAATAAACACTGAGCACTAGTGGTTATGCTGCTAGGAATGCTCCTTAAATACTAATTTCAACTTTGTTAAAATAATTGTATACAAGCTACAAGATTGCCACACTTCATACAGTTGCAAGAAAAAGTATGTGAACCCTTTGGAATGATATGGATTTCTGCACAAATTAGTCTGCTTAAACTAATAACACACAAAGAATGAAATGTTGCCATGTTTTTATTGAACACATTATGTAAACATTCACAGTGCAGGAGGAAAAAGTATGTGAACCTTTGGATTTAATAACTGGTTGAACCTCCTTTGGCAGCAATAACTTCAACCAAACGTTTCCTGTAGTTGCAGATCAGACGTGCACAACGGTCAGGAGTAATTCTTGACCATTCCTCTTTACAGAACTGTTTCAGTTCAGCAATATTCTTCTATGTCTGGTGTGAATCGCTTTCTTGAGGTCATGCCACAGCATCTCAATTGGGTTGAGGTCAGGACTCTGACTGGGCCACTTCAGCAGGCGTATTTTCTTCTGTTTAACCCCTTAAAGACCAAACTTCTGGAATAAAAGGGAATCATGACATGTCACACATGTCATGTGTCCTTAAGGGGTTAAGCCATTCTGTTGTTGATTTACTTCTATGCTTTGGGTCATTGTCCTGTTGCAACACCCATCTTCTGTTGAGCTTCAGCTGGTAGACAGATGGCCTTAAGTTCTCCTGCAAAATGTCTTGATAAACTTGGCAATTCATTTTTCCTTCGATGATAGTAATCTGTCCAGGCCCTGATGCAGCAAAGCAGCCCCAAACCATGATGCCCCCACCACCATACTTCACAGTTGGGATGAGGTTTTGATGTTGGTGTGCTGTGCCTTTTTTTCGCCACACATAGTGTTGTGTGTTTCTTCCAAACAACTCAACTTTGGTTTCATCTGTCCACAGAATATTTTGCCAGTACTGCTGTGGAACATCCAGGTGCTCTTGTGCAAACTGTAAACGTGCAGCAATGTTTTGTCTGGACAGCAGTGGCTTCCTCTGTGGTATCCTCCCATGAAATCCATTCTTGTTTAGTGTTTTACGTATTGTAGATTCGCTAACAGGGATGTTAGCATTTGCCAGTGACTTTTGTAAGTCTTTAGCTGACACTCTAGGATTCTTCTTCACCTCATTGAGCAGTCTGCGCTGTGCTCTTGCAGTCATCTTTACAGGACGGCCACTCCTAGGGAGAGTAGCAGCAATGCTGAACTTTCTCCATTTATAGACAATTTGTCTTACCATGGACTGATGAACAGCAAGGCTTTTGGAGATACTTTATTACCCTTTCCAGCTTTATGCAAGTCAACAATTCTTAATCGTAGGTCTTCTGAGAGCTCTTTTGTGCGAGGCATCATTCACATCAGGCAATGCTTCTTGTGAAAAGCAAACCCAGAACTGGTGTGTGTTTTTTATAGGGCAGGGCAGCTGTAACCAACACCTCCAATCTCATCTCATTGATTGGACTCCAGTTGGATGACATCTCACTCCAATTAGCTCTTGGAGATGTCATTAGTCTAGGGGTTCACATACTTTTTCCACCTGCACTGTGAATGTTTACATGGTGTGTTCAATACAAACATGGCAACATTTCATTCTTTGTGTGTTATTAGTTTAAGTAGACTGTGATTCTCTATTGTTGTGACTTAGATGATGATCAGATCACATTTTATGACCAATTTGTGCAGAAATCCATATCATTCCAAAGGGTTCACATACTTTTTCTTGCAACTGTATCTGATGAGACAAATCCACACTGACAGGTGTAAAGATATTCTTTATGGTCCTTGCCATGAAAATGGGCCATATTAATGGGAAACTATAGTGCCAGGAAAACAGAGTTGTTTTACTGGCACTATAGCTCCCTATAGTGCCCCCTCTGTGAATGCCCCCCTTCTGCCCCCGACCCTGGTGCAAAAGGGGTTAAAACCACTTCAGTGACATACCAGAGTCCGTCTTTGCTCCTCCCCCACCAACATAAGCCCGCCGAAGAGACCCGATGCGCATGTGTGGTGGTGGCCGCACTCACATTAGTACTTCCCCCATAGGATAGCATTAATGCTTTTAGATGGGGTTTTGGATGATGCTGGATGTCCTCATGCATAGCGTGAGGATGTCCAGCATCAGTTAGGCGAAAAAAGTCGCCTAACGACTCAGAAGACCCTCTAATGGCTGTCTGGTAGACAGCCACTAGAGGTGGTGTTAACCCACAAAAATTGAAAACTGCAATAATTACCTATGCAGGGTTATGGGACCTGGGAATATGCACTCAGACCACTGCCTATAGTGTCCTTTTAGTATAACCCTTTTGGTGTGGCCAACAACAATGGCTTTTGTAAGGTAAGTAGTAAACTCTTTATAAAGAACCAATAAAGATTTAAAACGTTTTCCAATTTATTAGAGCAAGTATATATACATATTCTATAAATCTACTGATACTTCTTCAAACTGCATGTCATGTTTAAAAAGGCTGTCATTTCCCCCCCATGCATTATTCTCTCAGCCAGTCAGCTAAAGGACAAAAGTTAAATTTTTATACTTAAATGGCTTTAAGACTTTCTTTTCACATTTTGTTTGGCAGCAAAAAGCACTGGCTGCTATGTAATAAATGCCAAATGTAGTTTACTTTTTTGATCAGAAAAACCTACTAACCTTGGAACCATTTCTACCAAGTTCTCGCAAAGGGCTTGAATGTACCACGTTCCTTCTTTCACATGTCTGTAGGAGAAATGACCATCTACTGTTGACATGCCTATTAATAAATCTGCATCTGCTGGAATGCTTATAGCGTACTTCTTCTTCTTTACCAATATAGCAGCATCAGGTTGGATAGGACATGCAGTCTGTGGTTGTTTCCCTTGACATGCTTGTATAAAAAAAAGCTTAGGTTTTCCAGCCAGTGTCGGGCAATTGGTTGGGATGAATCTGGCTATAACATCATTGATGGGTACAGATACATTGTCTGTTCCCATTACCGTTCCAGATTCTCCATGTGTCAAGATACAACATGTAAAACAATCTCTGTCGCTATGGTCTTTCTTTGAGAATTCCTCCAGGCATTTCAATATATCATCTGCTGTTTGTTCTTTGAAAGTCTCCACTTCAAATCCAAGCCATGTAAACACACCCTTCAAGTCCTCTAAAAGATACCATGAAAATACCAATTATTATATATAGAGATTTTATATATATATTCTAAATGTTTTTGTATGATAGATTATGACAGGTATGGCTGTGCCTTTCTGTCTTCATTCCTGAAGAAATGGAAGACTCCATCATCATCCTAAGAATTCAAGAGCTGAACCCATATGGTCACTAGGGTGAAATAACTGCGAGGTGAGTTTGGAAATGTATGTTACATTAGCCCACTGACCACCTGCCTGATGCTTGTGTTGAGCTACTGAAGTCAGGATTAATATTTAAAATATACATTTCCAGTCAATCCACAAACTTACCATTTTAGGTGAAATGACAATTAAAGACCTGCTGGAAAACTAATGTGGGCCCATATCAAATGGTGTGCCTTTTGCCCTATATTAAAGAAACACTATGGCGTTAGGAATACAAATGTATTCCTAATACTATTATGTTCTACTCCCAATTTAGATTCAGGGCCCACCTAAACTTAATTTGAAAAAAATGGTTTCAATAACCTTTTATCCAGTACAGGGCAGCTGCTCCTCCTCATATAAGATCATCCATTTGGACCCATTTTGGGCACTGGGAACCTACTGGGCATGCACAGCAATCACAAGTAATGAATCCAGCGCTTCTTTCTATCAACCATTCAAAGTGCATGGTGATGCAAAACATGACTTTCGTTTATTGAAAGTCTTTACTAGGAAGTACATCTCAAAACTATCCAGGGGGGGAATAGGGGTAGGTGGGCAGGACCATGAGAGGGAATAACCAGTGACACCATCTGCGACACTAGCGAAGCCCATAATCCAGGCTGGTCCCCTCACTAACACGCTGGCTAGGTAATGCCCAGCCTTTGGAATCACGCAGGGAGTGCTGCTAAAGCGCTCCCTGCATTTTTCTGCTGCCTGCTGCACATCGCGATCACATCTAATGATGCGCCTGCACTTTGCTGCCCCGGGATAGTTCCCTGGTGCTCCCAAATACAGGACACCATGGAACTAAAGCAGGACAGGAACCCAAAATTTTTACTTTCCCACCAAAAGTGAGACTGTTGGGGGCTGCTTTAGTGGATGTTTGATTGAGTAATCCTGACTGACAAATGTAAACATTGCCATTTCTTGCCATGTTTACATTTGTCGCCTTGTTTACATTTGTCGTACTGCAGAGACAGGATTTATGCACAAAAATCATTACATTAAGATATCAAACCTTTGGTGTTTAGAGTGTACCTTAAAAAAATCTCCTATTTAATTTGCCTTTACAAACAAGAACAATAAAGTATACACACTATAATGATATAGAAATCATATATAAGGGAGAGATACCAGGTGTACCTCACTAACACCTAAAATTACATATAATAGAAAAAACAAAGTGGAAACACCTCCCAAATACGTGATATTATAACCATAAATGTAAATAACCTGAGATATAGGTAGTGATTCGCAGACAGAATCTGTATGAAAAATTAAAAAGCTAACATAGCGTAATATAGTACTAAAAAAGTGAGTATATTAGTAAAAATGAATGCACTCACAAACAAAATTTAAATTCAGGCTTCTCACCCTCCAAAAGGGTAGTAATCTTAGTAGATAGACCTCCTCCGTGGGATATATAGAAGAAGAACAGAGAACAAATATAGTGAAGCATGTAATTATATTACAGAATCATATTTATCGGTCACACTTACAGGAGAAAAGATATGACAGGCATATCTCCAAATCACATGGAACTCCAAGACTGATATAGAAAAAATCCAATAGAAGATCCAATGGAGCAGGTAGGATACAATAGAAATAAAATTAAAATAAAATAAATATAAAAATTACATACAGGATATAAAAACAAATAGCAGCATGTATAGGTTCAGAAGTATCCAACGCGTTTCGTCCGTCAAATAAAGGGACTTCCTCAGGGATATCAGGCTATCCCTGAGGAAGTCCCTTTTTTTGACGGACGAAACGCGTCATTTTCATACAGATTCTGTCTGCGATCACTACCTATATCTCAGGTTATTTACATTTATGGTTATAATATCACGTATTTGGGAGGTGTTTCCACTTAATTTGCCTTTAGCCTGCAAGGAAGTTTGTGAGCTTTGAGCCATACATATTATTTTCCATTTCAGAGGTAAATATTATTCTTTAATTAATGATGTATCTGACGCAGAAAAGGCCTGACAAGGACACTGTTCTAGACAAACAGGAGAAACCACTTTTCAGTTCTGAAGGGATCTACATTCCAGAACCCCAAATGGGCTGTCTATGACCCATGTCTAAGTACTTGGATATCTGGACTACAAAGTCCCTGGGAAAAAAAACTCAAGAAAAGTTACTTCAATAAATAATCAATTTTGCCAATTTAATGGAGTGTGCTCATATATATAGACTTGTGTATATATATATATATATATAACCATTAATATAAGCTAACGGGGGGATTGAAGACCATCGATTAAAAACAAGATGTGTAGTACACATGCATTGTGAGATTTTTTACTGTGGAAACCATCACTATTAGTTAATGTTAGTGGCAGCTACTTTAGTGAGTAACTGCTTATTCGTAAAACTTACTGGCAAAATTGGAAAAGAGCCCAAAGTAGTTATGATAGAAGTTATGTACAAAAGGTTTTGTGGAAATCTGATTTTTGTTCTAAAGAAGGACAAAGTTATGTACTAAATAAATCTAAAAAAAAATGTAATTCCCTCATAGTTTGATTATAACTCACCTGCATCTTTTTCTGTCCCTGGTCTTGGTTGGCTTCTCACAAACAATAAGTTACTTACAATCAAGCAGTAACCCCTGTGCTTATGATTCATTGCATAAATATGAGTCTGTGGGAAATAATTAAAAATTAATCTTTCATAATTAAAAAAATAAAATAACGATGCCCTGGCATCTCCCAATTGCAAGCAGCACCAAACACACCCTAGGTAAGGGGTCAAACTATGCTAAAACAGTTTGACTTCATACCGGGATCCACATGCACCACTCCATGCCTCCACTACAGCCAAAAGACAGCATGAAACTCCTGCTTAGGAGCTTCCATTAGCTCTCCTGAGATAAGCTGTGCTGTGCATAAGCTGATCACACTAAGTCAATGAGCAAAGCCCTATACCACCGGGCTTAACACGGACAGAGAGCTCATAGCTCTCTACAGATTGTAGTGGAGACAGGAAGCAGCACCTGGTAGACCCCAAGTAAGAAGTCAACCTATTGTAAAAATGCCTTGTAGTGATTATGGTCCTTGTAGTGATCATTTAATTAAGGTTAATTACCTTTGATACAAGAACAAGATTACAGTTGAATGCATGCTGGATGCATGCTGGATATTACACTTAATGCCTCTCTACCATTTCCTTTCTTTGCTGCAAAGAAGACATTATTTGCTCAAAGTGTTGTGTGGGAAAGGTACTTAAAGGGACATTATAGTCACTAGAACAACTTTAGCTTAATTAAACAGTGTGTGTATAGATCATGTCCCTACTCAAGTCTCTGTCATTTAGAAGTTAAATGAATGTGTTTATGAAGCCCTAGTCAGACCTCCCTCCAAGTAACATGCACAGCCTTCCTAAACATTTCCTGTAAAATGAGATCTAAAGTTTACACTTCCTTTATTGCAAATTCGGTTTAATTTAGAATGTATTTCCTGTACTGGTGATAGCATGTTAGACCTTGCAGAAAGCTTCTTTAAGTGATGAAAGTTCAATTTACAGCACAGGAGATTTAAAAAAAAAAAACCTTCTAAAATAAGTTAACATCTGATTAAAAATTAAACTTTTTCTCATGTGTGTCACAGCCAGGGTAGGTGTTGCTAGCGTTGCATGGACAGAAACTAAAGTGATATTGCTCCTAAATGGCAGAGAATTGAGCAGTGAGACTGCAGGGTCTATATGATCTATGATCTATACACTAAAACTGCTTCATTAAACTAAAGTAGTTTTGTTGACTATAATGTCCCTTTAAAATTGTGATGTTATACTCTTTAAATGCAAATAGATATTACTCTTTTTTTTATAGGGTTTAGAAAAAAACAAAACATTTATGCTTAAATGTAATGGTAGTATTATTATGAACCCTGTTATTTCCCTGCAATACTTTAGTTAATTGGAATACAGTGTCCATTTGGCTGCCAATACACTACAGTTTCATTAAAGGGACATTATAATCATTAGAACAACTACAGCTCATTGTAGTTGTTTTGGTGAGTATAGTCAATCCCTGCAGTCATTTTCATGCAAACACTCTTTTCAGAGAAAAAGCAGTGTTTACATTACAGCATAGGGACACTCCTCAGATGGCCACTGGAGGTGGTTCCTGGGGCAGTGCTGCATAGGGTGCAGCAGTGCTGTTCAGAGGCTGAACTTTTCTCATAGAAAAGCATTGATTCAATGCATCTCTATTAGGAGATGCTGATAGGCCAGGCCGGCATTTTTCCCAGCTCCAACCTGCCTCCTTGACGATCTCAGTTAATCCAATATTTTCCCTATGGAAAAGCACTGGATTGGCGGATAAGATCAATTTTCTATTGATGCAGCCAAAGAGGCGGATTGGGGGCGGGCCCAGCGCCGATGGACCCGCACAGTGCTGGAAAGAAGGTAAGTTTTAACCCTTTCTAAGGGTACTAAGAAGGAGGGGTGGGGAGCTACCTAAATGGTGGTTTTAACACTATAGGTTTAGGAATACATGTTTGTGTTCCTGACCCTATAGTGTTCCTTTAACTAAACTGGCAGTTGTCAGGAAGTGACCAGAGAATTACAAATATTGGTGTTGGAAAAGTGTAGTTCAGCAATGTATCCAGTTTGGCTAATGTAGCCTACAATTTGCAATTCTTGAAAATTCCTGGTTTTATGACTATCCCTGCAGGTTTTATGCACTAAACTGTTTTTTTTTTTTTAGAACTGACATAAGAATTACAGAGTTTAGGCCAAAAAGCTGAAGATGGATATATATATGAAACCAGGGGGCTGCACTCACTTGAACATGCATAAATGGGGTGCTGCTGGTGGGCAATTTATACAATACACAAGATCCAGGGCACTCACCTATCCTCTAAACAGCAACTTCAATGTTCACAGATTTTATTAGGTTTGTTTTTAAAAAACAACTAAATTTGTCAACATTGAAGTTGCTGTTTAGTGGATAGGTGAGTGCGATGGATCTTGTGTAATATATATATATATATATATATATACACCGCTCACATTTTTGTAAATATTTTGTTATATCTTTTCATGTGACAACACTGAACAAATGACATTCTGCTACAATGTAAAGTAGTAAGTGTACAGCCTGTAGAACAGTATAAATTTGCTGTCCCCTCAAAATAACTCAACACACAGCCATTAACCCCTTAAAGGACCACTATAGTGCCAGGAAAACATACTCGTTTTCCTGGCACTATAGTGCCCTGAGGGTGCCCCCACCCTCAGGGACACCCTCCCGCCCGGCTCTGGGGAGAGGAAAGGGTTAAGACTTACCTTTTTTCCAGCGCCTCTCTGCCTCCTCTCCTCCCCTGCGGCAGGAGCTGCGCGCGCATTCAGCCGGTCTCATAAGAAAGCATTTACAATGCTTTCCTATGGACGCTTGCGTCTTCTCACTGTGATTTTCACAGTGAGAAGCAAGCAAGCGCCTCTAGCGGCTGTCAATGAGACAGCCACTAGAGGATTTGGAGGCTGGATTAACCCTATTATAAACATAGCCGTTTCTCTGAAACGGCTATGTTTATAAAAAAAAGTGTTAATCCTAGCTGGACCTGGCACCCACACCACTTCATTAAGCTGAAGTGGTCTGGGTGCCTAGAGTGGTCCTTTAAGGACTGAGCCAAATGTACACGTTGTGATCAAAACAAAATGTAAACAAAAACTTGAATTTGCGCTATATGTCTGTTCAGGCGTAATTCGCCTCTTTCACCCACACTTATTATATATCATTTTATTCAGGGGAAACAGGGCTTTCATTTAACATCAATTATTTAGGTATGAAACATAATTTAATATGAATAAAATATAAAAAAAATGGGAGAAAATAAGAATTTTAAAAAAAAAAGTTATTTCTACGTGACATTTTAACTGTGAATGTCATAATACTGTTTGCTTTTACTGCAATAAAATACACATATTTGTATTCAGCAATGTCTCACATGTAAAACAGTACCCCCTATGTACAGGTTTTATGGTGTTTTGGGAAGTTACAGGGTCAAATATAGCATGTTCAATTTTTCATTTTTTTCACATTGAAATCCGCCAGATTGGTTACGTTGCCTTTGAGACTGTATGGTAGCCCAGGAATAAGAATTACCTCCATGATGGCATACCATTTGCAATAATAGACAACCCAATGTATTGCAAATGGGGTATATCCAGTCTTTTTAAGTAGCCACTTGGTCACAAACACTAGCCAAATTTAGCATTAATATTTGTTTGTGTGTGAAAAATGCAAAAAACTAATTTGAAAGCCAAGTTTGGCCAGTGTTTGTGACTAAGTGGCATAACCAACCTGGCGAATTTCAATGTGAAAAAAATGAAACGCAAGCCTTATATTTGACTCTAACTTTTGAAAACAACATAAAACCTGTACATGAGGGGTACTGTTATACTCGGGAGACTTCGCTGAACACAAATATTAGTGTTTCAAAACAGTAAAATGTGTCACAACAATTATATCATCTGTGTAAGTGCTACTTGTGTGTGAAAAATGCAAACAATATCACTTTCACTGACAATATAATCATTTTACTGTTTTGAAACTAATTATTTGTGTTCAGCGAAGTCTACTAAGTAAAACAGTACCCCCCATGTACAGGTTTTATGGTGTCTTGGAAAATTACAGGGTTAAATATAGTGCTAGCAAATTAAATTCCCTGGACTTTTGGCCTGGGTTGTCAGGCAGGTCCCGCAAATTGTAATTAATAAAATTACCTAATTATGTAAAATGATTACATAAATATATACGTAGAATTATTATATATATGTGTGTATATATACGTGTGTGTGTATATATATATATATATATATGTATATGTATAGAATTTTTTTAAATTATTTTTATTTATAGGTATATATATAGTAATATATACGCAGGGCCGGATTAACATAGGGGCTGATGGAGCTGCAGCTCCAGGCCCAGGCCCAGGCCCATGGAATAGGCCCATTTAAAAAAAAAAAAGAAATTTTTTTTAACACACTACTCTTAGGTTTGCCACCTGATTGGTATTTTAATGGCACAGCCGGTATTTGAGGCTGCCTGGCTGTGCCGGTATTGCAGTAATACCGGCAATACAAATGCAGGTAATTTTCTCAGAATAAATGGAAATTACTCTGCAATACCAGCACCGGCCAGTAGGGGTCACTGTGTGTGGAGAGAGGCAGGGATAGGAAGTTACAGAATATCCCTGCCTCTCTCTACTACTCACTGATCCGTGGGGGAGCAACTACACAGCAAAGAGAGTCCCCACAGCAGCTCTACAGCTCAGGTAAGTGAGGGATGGGGGGAAAGGCAGCAGGGACACATGGGGACACTGAGACACTAGGGGACATATGGGGACACTGAGACACTAGGGGACACGGAGACCTGGGAACACTGAGACACTTGGGGACACTGGAAAACATGGGGACACTGAGACACATGGGGACACAGACACTAGGGGACACAGACACTAGGGGACACATGGGAACACAGACACTAGGGGACACTGAGACACTAGGACACATGGGGACACAGACACTGTGAGACCTGGGGACACAGACACTTGGGGACACTGGAAAACATGGGGACACTGAGACACTAGGGACACATGGGGACGCTGTGAAACATAGGGACATTTGGAGACATTGGGAGACGGAGACACTATGTCCCCCAGCCAGTGTCCCTAGGGTCTCAGTGTCCCCAAGTCTCCCAGTGTCTGTGTCCCATGTCTCTCAGTGTGCCTAGTGTCCCCATGTGTCCCAATGTCCCCATGTCTATGTCCACAACTGTCCCCATGTCTCCCCAAGTGTCTGTCTCCCAGCCAGTGTCCCCTAGTCTCCCAGTATCCCCTAATCTCCCAGTGTCCCCTAGTCTCCCAGTGTCTGTGTCCCTAGTGTCTTAGTGTCCCCAAATGTTTCAGTGTCTCCATGTCTCCCAGTGTCTGTGTTCTTATTGTCTTAGTGTGCCTGGTGTCCCCATGTCTCCCAGTGTCCCTATATGTCCCAGTGTCCACATGTCTATGTCCACAACTGTCCCCATGTCTCCCAGTGTCCCCAAGTGTCTGTCTCCCAGCCAGTGGTCCCTAGTCTCCCAATGTCTGTGTTCCCATGTCTTTGTCCCTAGTGTCTTAGTGTCCCCAAATGTTTCAGTGTCCCCATGTCTCCCAGTGTCTGTGTCCCTAGTGTCTCAGTGTCCCCATTTCTCCCAGTTTCCCTAAATGTCTCAGTGTCCCCATGTCTCCCAGTGTCTCCATGTCTCTGTGTCCCCGGGTCTCTCAGTGTCCCCAGTATCCTAGTGACATGGGGACACACTGAAACATTGGGACACTGGGAGAAATGGGGACACAGACACTGGGAGACTAGGGGACTGGGCGAGATGAGGACACTGACACTGTGATACATAGGGACACTGAGACACAGGGTGACTTGCGAGACTGAGACACTGGGAGACAGTGAGACACTGGGAGCAATCCATCTATACAGCAGAATCAAACTGTGAGTAGTTTGTTGGTGATTTTACAGAATTTTCTCTGATGTCACTCCTTGTGATTTACATCATGTGATGTCACGCATAACTAATTAATTATACAAATGATTAAGGCTGGTATTTTTTTCCAAGAAAGGTGGCAACCTTAACTACTCTTCACATACTCTTGCTTAAAGGAGCACTATAGTGTCAGGAACACAATCATGTATTTCTTACCCTATTATGTTAAAACCACCACCCTGGCCCCTTCTTGTCTCCCTAAATATAGTAAAATATTACTTGCATTCAATTCTGCAGCTGCTGGCTCAGAAGTGGTGGTCTGAGCAAATTACAATACTTCCCCATAGGATTGGCTGAGACTGTCAACTAGGCAGATCAGGGGCAGAGCCAGCACAAGTCCAACATAGCCCTGGCCAATCAGCATCTCCTCATAAAGATAAATTGAATCAATGCATCTCTATGAGGAAAGTTCAGTGTCTGCATGCAGAGGGTGGAGACACTGAATGGCAGTGCTGCACACTAGGCAGTACTGCCCCAGGAAGCACCTCTAGCAGCCATCTAAGGAGCGGCCAGTGGAGTTATTTTCTCTGAAAAGACAGTGTTTACTGCAAAAAGCCTGAATGGAATGATTCTACTTACCAGAACAAATACAATAAGCTGTAGTTGTTCTGGTGACTATAGTGTCCCTTTAAGTTTGGAAGCTTAAGAGGGATGTATGGGAACAAAACTTGTGTGCACTGGCTGACATTAAAGTTAGTTTAGGTAATGCAGACGTTGGTCTCTCTAACACTGTGGCATGTCCCCTTTCTTCTACACTCACTACAGACACATTTTCTCTGTCTCAGACTATACCAGGAACTTCTGCCTGCTAGTAAGAAGGTAAGGAGACAAGTGGACCAGCGAGTGCTAGGGGACAGTCCTTAGAAAGAATGGAGTGAGCGCATCATTAGACGCATTTATGTCAAGCTCAAGGTGCTGCCTGCATAGTATGCCCTTAGTTGGACAGCCTGCAGGATTGGCAGGCAGCCTGACATGCATTCATGCCAGGCTGACCTTCCAATTCTTTGGACAAACATGCCCCCTTTTTGGGCATGTTCACCCCTTTTGGCAGGTCTTGTCACGTGATTCGCACCAGTGGCACACTCTTTTACCCCGCCCATTGACTTCCTGCTTCACTGGACACTGCTGTTAGGGGTTATGGATTTACTTGAAAGATGAAAGCATAAATTAGAGATAAATTAGCATAGAGTATGTGTTTTCTTATAGCTGCATCCTATGAGTTTCCCTCCAGCACCATCTCCATCAGATACATGACGCTTGGGAGGTATGATTGTTTTAGTGTTTTGGTCGATAAGATTCCGTAATTAGGCCCATCATAATTGTCAGCACCAGGCCCACTATGCTCTTAATCCGGCCCTGTATATACGTATATATATTTCTACATGTATTTTGATATCAATATATATATTAATTTACACATATATTAATATGTATTTACATATTTATTTTATATTATATATAATGAAAATTATATATATATTTAATCAATATCATTGTGCATGTATTTTGATATGAATTTATTTAATCATATATATATATTAATACACTTAGACAGGGTATGTGTATGTATGTATATATATAATTCCCACGGGGTCCCGCACTCCTGCTCCCAATCTTGTTTATTGCCTAGGTGCCACTCCGACCTCAAAATATAAAATACCTTGTTGGAAGTGCACTCACAGGACTCGATACTGTTGCCAAAAATGTGCCATTTATTCAAGCTTCAAAAGTTGATTACATAGTGTCGACGTTTCAGTCCACTAGGGACTTTTTTCAAGACTATATATATATATATGTATATATATATATATATATATATATGTATATATATATATACTTAGATCATATATATATATAATAAATATATATATGATCTACGTATATATTTTATTTTAAACTGTAACTTTAACATCTTTTTTACTATTTTCAGGCAGCAGAGGGAGTATCTGTCATTACAGGCACTTCCCCTGCTGGCACTGACATGGACGGCTATGCTGCAGAGGTTGAAGGGTTAGGGGGGTCATCCTGTCAATGCTCAGACCATATGCCGCACACTGATTCAAATTGGTCTGCACGGCTGTCGTCCCAGAAGGAAGCCTCTTCTAAAGATGATGCACATGAAAAAGCCCGCAAACAGTTTGCGGAAGACAAGCAGACATGGATTACTGGAACCATGTCCTGTGGTCTGCTGAGACCAAGATGAACTTATTTTGTTCAGATGGTGTCAAGTGTGTGTGGTGGCAACCAGGTGAGGAGTACAAAGACAAGTGTGTCTTGCCTACAGTCAAGCATTGTGGTGGGAGTGTTATGGTATGGGCCTGCTTTATTGCTGCCAGCACTGGGGAGCTACAGTTCATTGAGGGAACCATGAATGCCAACATGTACTGTGACATACTGAAGCAGAGCATGACCCCTTCCCTTCGGACACTGAGCCGCAGGGCAGTATTCCAACATGATAACGAAACCAAAACACAACCCTAAGATGACCACTGCCCTGCTAAAGAAGCTGAAGGTAAAGGTGATGGACTGGCCCAGCATGTCTCCAGACCCAAACCCTATTGAGCATCTGTTGGGCATCCTCAAACGGAAGGTGAGGGATCGCAAGGTCGTTAACATGCAGCAGCTCCATGATGTCATCATGGAGGAGTGGAAGAGGACTCCAATGGCAACCTGTGAAACTCTGGTGAACTCCATGCCCATGAGGGTTAAGGCAATGGAAAATAATGGTGGTCACACAAAATATTGACAATTTGGGTCCAATTTGGACATTTCCATTTAGGGGTGAACTCACTTTTGTTGCCAACGGTTTAGACATTAATGGCTGTGTGTTGAGTTATTTTGAGGGGACAGCAAATTTACACAGGCTTTACATTGTAGCAGAGTGTCATTTCTTCAGTGTTGTCACATGAAAAGATATAATAAAATATTTACAAAAATGTGAGGGGTGTACTCACTTTTGTGAGATACTGTATATGTAAATATAAATATATTATATATAAGTTGTTTCAAAGCTGTTGTATACAGCAAACACAGACTCAAAGGAATCCATTTTTAAAATGGAATGAGGCAAAATTTTGATTCTTTGTTAAAGGGACACTATATTCACCAGAACAACTACAGCTTGTTGAATTTGTTCTGGTGAGTACAATCATTACCTTCAGGCTTTTTGCTGTAAACACTGCTTGTTTCAGAGAAAATGCAGTGTTTACATTACAGCCTAGTGATAACTTCACTGGCCACTCATCAGATGGCTGTTAGAGATCCTTCCTGGGTCATTGCTGCCTAAAGTGCATCCAAACATTCAGTGTCTCCTCCGTCTGCATGCAGACACTGAACTTTCCTCATAGAGATGCATTGATTCAATTCATCTCTATGAGGAGATGCTGATTGGCCAGGGCTGTGTTTGAATTGTGCTGGCTCTGCCCCTGATCTGCCTCTTTGTCAGTCTCAGCCAATCCTATGGGGAAGCATTGTGATTGGATCAGGATACCACTTCTGATGATGTACAGGGACAAAATGAGCAGCTGCAGACTTGAATACAAGTAAGATTTTACTATATTTAGGGAGACATAATGGGACCAGGGTGGCTAGATGGTGGTTTTAACCCTATAGGGTCAGGAATACATGTTTGTGTTCCTGACCCTATAGTGTTCCTTTAAAATAATTTGCATATGCCCACCCAGAATCCTTTGCAGTAACATCCCTGCAGATTTGGGATTTCTGTGGGAAAAGCAAGTCTTATGGCTTAACTGGTGTGCAGATTTTTGTTTAACATTGTATTAACTATATATTACTGTATATATATATATATATATAGAAATGGGAAAAAGAAAGTACGCCTTCTTTGAAATCCCATTGTTTAACATCAGGAAATAACAATCATCTGTTCCTTATCCAACCTTAGATGAACAACACATGACATATTACACCGTGTCATTTATTTAAGAAAAATAAAGCCAAAATGAAGAAGCCATGTTGGAAAAACGAAGTACACCTTATAATTCAACAGCTTGTAGAACAATCTTTAGCAGCAATAAGTTGAATTAAATATTTTTCTCTATGACTTTATCAGTCTCTCATATTGTTGTGGAGGAATTTTGGCCCAATCTTATCTATAATGTTGCTTCAGTTCATTGAGGTTTGCTAGCATTTGTTTATGTACAGCTCCCTTAAGGTCTCGCCAGGGCATTTCAATTGGGTTGAGGTCTGGACTTTGACTGGGCCATTGTAACACGTTGATTCTTTTCTTTTTCAGCCACTCTGTTGTAGATTTGCTGGTGTGCTTGGTATCCTTGTCCTGTAGCATGACTCAATTTCGGCCAAACTTTAGCTTTTGGAAAGATGGCTTCACATTCAACTCTAGAATATTTTGGTATACAGAGGAGTTTATGATCGACTCAATGACTGCAAGGTTCCCAGGTCCTGTGGCTGAAAAACAAGCCCTATTCAACACCCCCCACCACCCTGCTTGACAGTTGGTATGAGGTGTTTGTGCTAATAAACTGTGTTTGGTTTTCGCCAACAAATTGTTTGGAAATGGCTTAATAACCCTTCCCAGTTTGATGGGCAGCAACAATTGTTTCTCTAAGATCATTGCTTATGTCGTTCCTTCTTTGGCACTGTATTAACACATACCTGAATGCTCCAGACCAGCAAACTGCTAAAATTTCTGCTTTTCTAGAGATGATCAAACTTGCTGATGATCAATTAATCGAGGAAGGTTGATTAGCAGCACCTTTTTGCTACTTAGCCTCTTAATTCATATGGAAGCAGTAAGGGGGCACTTAGTTTTTCACACATGGATACTCCATTTTGGCTTTATTTTTGTTAAAGTCATGATACAGTGTAATATGTCATGTGTTGTTGTTCATCTGAAGTAGTATTTACCAAATTTTGACCTGCTAAGGAACAGATGATTGTTATTATGTCCTGATAAGTAACCAATTATTTTCCCCGTGACTGTATATATGTTGTCACCATATTTCAATGGAAAGAAACAAATCTATTCCAAAAGTGTTTAGTTTACACATTGAACTTGAGACATACTTTAACTAACCTCTAAGTTTTTACGTGTTTGCTCATCATTAAGGCTAAGCATGCCAACTTGATTTTCAATGTTTCCAGCATGGTCATCTGCAAATCAGAAAAAAAGCACAGTTTAAATAGTGTGATCAGGCTTAACAGCATAAATAAGAGAAGAGAACAAAAGCTAGAAGATCCAAATACACACTTGAAAAAATTTGATTTTTGCACAGTAAGGAATTTCGGCTCTGTGGAATAATTTCTATTTTAAAGATAGCACATTTTTAGAACAGCTGAAATTCTGTCAGATATTGGTTCAGCTCAGTTCAATGTCACTGCAGATTCTGATTCAGGAGAAGAAACCAAAAAGACTTGTAAATAGGCCAAGCAGTGTGCTGTAAAATATATACATAATAAAAGCATTTTCCTGCCATTTGGTTCACAGATTAACTCTTTAACATCATTGCAGCGTTCTATGCTGTCTGCATTTTAGTGGGCTTTAAAGCACTGCTGCACCACAGTAACGGCTTTGAGCTCAGGGGCCGCCGGCCAGTCGGGGGTCTGTCTGATAACCAAGGCAGTCCCCCTCTGGCAAATCAGGCCCTCTTGGACCATGTAATCGCTAAAATATTATTACTCACAATTTTTACAAGTACTTAGGAACAATTTCTAACAACAGAAAGCACAAACACAGATAGGTGAATGTGAAATAAATTTAAAGAATGAGGTTACAGTGATCGAGTACTACAAAAGGCATGGAACAAATGTCATGACACCACGAAATTAAAATAGACCAATGCCCCTTGATTGGTATTTCCCATTACGTTTACCACACTATCACCAAAAATCAAGGCTTCTGTGAGCTCAAGCTGGCGCATTCTATCAAACGACCCCACACTACCAGCGAAATGTAAGCATCCACCAATGATTTGTTATTTGCGCGGTAAAAGATTACGAGACCTCTTGGTCAAGTCGGATACTGTGCACTGCTATTCTGTAGAACAAGATACGGCTAACACAGGATGCTACAGGTGCCTTGGGTGTGTCACCTGTAGCTATATGATCCCAAGTAAGAACTTTACACATCCACACAATGGTAAACAATACAAGATAAGACACAGACTTACGTGTACGTCGGACTTTGTTGTTTACAAACTCCAGTGTCCCTGCGGACTATCTTATGTTGGGAAGACTGACTTACCCCTGTGGGAACGGATGAGAAACCATAGATCCAGTATAAGAACAGCTTTAAGTGACAACAAAGTGGAACTCCCAGTAGCTAAACACTTTTTAGCAATGGGTCATTCACTTCCCTCTTTAAAATTGATAGCAATTGACCATATCCCCCTGCTATTACTTGGAGGTGATCACAAAAAAACTTTAACTACAGAGGGAGGTGTTCTGGATAAGGACCCTGGACACAGTGTGGCCTAGAGGCCATAATGAAAAGGTCTCCTAGTCAGTATTTCTTTAAATTATCAACACAGCTGTATACCCTCCTTTCCTCCAACATTATGATCTGGGTGGTTTATACTTTTGCTTTAAAAGGTGTTCATATCTGTCACGGCAGCTAGTGTGGTCCAACACGCAGAAACTATGTAAATATATACATACAAAAGGAAAGGAAAATAAAAGGACAGAGCGTAAACCGGACCTTAGAATGGCCGGACTAATACGCTAGAGATAGAGAATAGTCAAAGGGAAAGCCGAGGTCAAGGAAGCCAGAAATACTCAAATACCGTTTGCACAAGCCAAGTCAGGGGAACCAGAATTCAGAATAACCAGGGAAAAGCCAAGATCAGGATACCAGGAAGTCAAATTCACAAAGATAAACGTACTCTCAGGAACCAGGAACAGGAAACCACGACAGGGCAAGGAAGTAAATTGAATCAGGGATTTAAATATCCCTCTCTGGCTTCTGATTGGTCAGAGGGTGACCTCTGACCCCAGAACGTGCGCGCTGACATTGTGACGTCACGCGCACGTCTGTATTCATTAGAGGGGCGGAGCTTAAGATGGACGCGACCACATGGTCTGCGCAATCTTTGATTTGGGCGCGATGCCCAGAGAAGGCAGCTGAGCGGCTCCTGGCTCGCTAACGAGCAGGTAAGCTTGTGGTGTTGGCGAGACCGTGCCGGTCGGGTACGGCTGCGGCACTCGGCGGGTCGGGAGCCGCAACAATATCATACTTTCCTAGTCCTTTGGATTCTCATACATGCTTGATTCCTACCATTCTTGGTCTTTTTATTTGGTGACGAGAGAGGTACAAACTCTCTTTATTTGGCTTCTGTAATAGATATTTAATCCACCTCCCTTGCCAGCAAGGGTATATTATTGGAATGAGATTTCTTCTCTTTTTTCTTCTTACTTTATATGAAATGAGATATTCACTCCCACATAGTACCAGTTACGATGATTGATTTTCCATGTTATTGAAATTCCTCTGTCCACAGTTTATAAAGCATGACCATTCCTATTTTGTGTATTGACTTTTGCCCTATGGCGCAGATATACATTGTATCTAAATGTTGTTTTATATTTTTATTGCAACAGTTGTATAGTCTTTATTCCATTGAGGCCACTACTTTTGTAGCAAATTCATTATTTTTGTTTCAATATGTTTATAATGTATCATTTTTTTATTTTGGTTTCAACATGCTCATAATTTACTTTCTACATGATCATTGGAGTATCCTATGCGATCCGCTGCTGATTTTGAATGTTTGCACACTGACAAAGAAATGATCAGTCTATAATTTTACTGGTTGGTGTATTTTAACAGTGACAGACAGAATGACAAAAAAAAAAAAGTTATCAATTGATTTGCATGTCAATGAGTGAAATGAGTATTTGATCCCCTATCAAACAACAAGATCTCTGGCTCCCAGGTATCTTTTACACAGGTAACGAGCGGAGATTAGGAGCACTCTCTTAAAGGGAGTGCTCCTAATCTCAGCTTGTTACCTGTATAAAATACACCTGTCCACAGAAGCAATCAATCAGATTCCAAACGCTCCACCATGGCCAAGACCAAAGAGCTGTCTAAGCACCACTCCTCTTTGCAGATCCTCTCCAAGTCATTAAGGTTTCGAGGCTGACCTTTGGCAACTCAAACCTTCAGCACCCTCCACAGATTTGCTATGGGATTAAGGTCTGGAGACTGGCTAGGTCACTCCAGGGCGTAATGTGCTTCTTCTTGAGCAACTCCTTTGTTGCCTTGGCTGTGTGTTTTGGGGCATTGTCATGCTGGAATACCCATCCATGAATCCTTTTTTTTTTATTCTTTATTTTATTGTGCACAAAAAATACAGTGAGGCAAGCAATGCCACAACAGCTTTTGCCAGTATGTCATTCAACATTTAACAGTAATTGTTCGGCATATGAGGGCATAGCACATTTTATATTTTAAGGTAAAGTAGTTGCATCAAAAGTTACACCACGTGTCAGTTACTAGTTATGGCAGATGAGGGACCTATTCTGAGTTACATACTGACATTTGCGTTAGATTGAAAGGTCTCTAGCTTAACCAAGATTATTATTAAAAAGATAAAGGTACCACCAGGCAGAATATCACATACTGGGCTGTCTCCATCAATAGGTAGGAAACTTAACTTGCTTATCAATGACTGCAGCTACAGCAACATCTGATGAGGCTATAAGTGGCACAGCATATGGTGTGCGTCTTAACGTAAAGGGCTGGGGTGACTGTCAGCTCCGGCAGAGCGAAAAGTAAGAGTCAGGGGAAACGCAGCCCATTCCTAGGCCTGGGGAGAGTCCCTGTAGGGTACCTCAAGAGGTCCACTGAGTCCCATAGTCCCGCCGTGTGGTGCAGTGTCCGCCGACCTCTGTCAACAAGCTTCCCGGTTGCTGGGTGAGTTTGGGCACGGTGTCTTGCAAGCCTTAGCACTCTGGTGCGGGCAGCATCACAGTGAGGTTGGTGCATGGGGACGATGACTTTGGGTGCTCTCCCAATATAGGCCACTGGTGCAGGCTTACTGATTGTTGGTGAGGCGTGTTCAGTCAGAGTAAGCCCCGAGTTCGCTCCAGGAGACTGCCGCTGCGGTATGGGTAGGTGTAATACCTGGAGGCTGCTATGGTTCTTGCCTGCTGTCGGGCATGTTCCAGGAGTGTTCACATGGGAGGTTGAGAGCCTGCAAGGAACTCCCGCTGTGTCAACTCTGGCTGTGTGATTTATGAGCACCGCACTAGTATGCCACACAGGGTTCTCCTTCTCAGCCAGTGGGGTTGCTGCGCTGCCCTCGGCCATTTTAATGAGACCGAGTGGGAGCCTTTCACCCCCGCGCTGAGCCACCCAGGTGAGATGTAAAGGTGGTAGCGTGCCTGGTGGGGACCAGGATAACCTGCGCCGATCCAAAGGGGGGGTGAATGGGACCAAGAAGGCACCAGGTAAGTGGTAGTTTGCTTCGGTCAGGACGGAAAGCGAGGCAGAGGCTGTCTGCCCCACTCTCCTACCGGGTAGGCCTCAATCCCCAAGCCTCAGAGTCTCTCACCAGGACCCAGAACCACCCGATATCAGGCACTCCAGCTACACCGGGACACTCCAGAGCCATGTGTAATGGACCCCCAGGGTGGTACAAGCAGGATAAGGTGGGTATTCAATCGAAAATAGTTTGTTTCCTCAGGAGCCCTCGTGACTTGCAGCCTTCTGGCATGGCCACCCGGCCCCGCCCCCCACAACTCCTTTTTTAATGCCCTGGCGGAGGGAAAGAGGTTCTCACCCAAGATTTCCATCGTCCCTTTGATGCGGTGCAGTTGTCCTGTCCCCTTAGCAGAAAAACACCCCACAAAGCATAATGTTTCCACCTCCTTCTTTGACGGTGGGGATGGTGTTCTTGGGGTCATATGCAGCACACCTTCTCCTCCAAACACGGCGTGTTGAGTTGATGTCAAATAGCTTGATTTTGGTCTCATCTGACCACAAGACTTTCACCCAGTTCTCCTCTGAATCATTCAGATTTTCATTGACAAACTTCAGACGGGCATGTACATGTGCTTTCTTGAGCAGGGGGACATTGCGGGTGATGCAGGATTTCATTTCTTCATAGCGTAGTGTGTTACCGATTATTTTCTTGGTGACTATGGTCCCAGCTGCCTTGAGATCATTCACAAGATCCTCCCGTGTAGTTCAAGGCTGATTCCTAAACCATGATCATTGAAACTCCACAAGGTGAGATCTTGCATGGAGCACCAGATCGAGGGAGACTGACAGTTATTATGTGTTTCTTCCATTTGTTCATATCATATCGCACCAACTGTTGTCACCTTCTCACCAAGCTGCTTGGTGATGGTCTTGTAGCCCATTCCAGCCTTGTGTAGGTCTACAATCTTGTCTCTGACATGCTTGGACAGCTCTTTGGTCTTGGCCATGGTGGAGAGTTTGGAATCTGATTGATTGATTGCTTCTGTGGACAGGTGCCCTTTATACACGTAACGAGCTGAGATTAGGAGCACTCCCTTTAAGAGAGTGCTCCTAATCTCAGCTTGTTACCTGTGTAAAAGATACCTGGGAGCCAGAAATCTTGTTGTTTGATAGGGGATCAAATACTTATTTCACTCACTGACATGCAAATCAATTGATAACTTTTTTGACATGCGTTTTTCTTGATTTTTTTTTTTTGTCATTCTGTCTGTCACTGTTAAAATACACCTACCATTAAAATTATAGACTGATAATTTCTTTGTCAGTGGCAAATGTTCAAAATCAGCAGGGTATCAAATTTTTTTTTTCTCTCACTGTACATTGGAACATAGAAACATAGAATGTGATGGCAGATAAGAACCATTCGGCCCATCTAGTCTTCCCAATAACATGCGATATTACTTTACATTGGAAACACAAGACATGCCAGGAATGAAGCACATTTTTTTTTAAAGGAAATAAGACAATGTAGTGTGGTTTGCCAGTCAGGGTTAAAATAGAATTAAGAATTATTTGTTCAGTCAGGTAAACTGACTAGATTGAGAGAACAGGAAAAAGATCGATGGAAATATATATATGGCTTTGCTACAGAATAGCAAAAATGAGTAACATGTGGAAGGTTAGCGACTGCAGGCAAAGTTGCCTCTGTGTTTTATCTAACCCCAGGTGGCCAACACTGAAGAAGGATATATAATCTCCTTTGGGAAGAGGCATATTGTCAGAAGGCTATTGTAGACATAAGTAAATTAAAATGATAAAGAAAACAGGTCAAAATAAAACAAAAGTGTGAATAACATAAGGTGGGTGCAGATGTCACAGTGACACTTCTAGTTATCAGTAGGTCATCTCTCAGCTAAAGTTTAGTGATCAACCTACTCCTGTGCTTGGCAGTCATGAAATATAAAATAGCACTGAGGTGTGCAGTATATTCGTACCGAGTGTGACAGCAGTCACCATCACTGGGGATGGAAGACAGACACTATATGTAGGTCCCCAGATTCCTCTTGTATTTTGGTCACCCTGTGCACATTATTGGTGCAGGGTATGTTGAATGTATTATTTGTCCAGGTTGTATGTGTCTTTATCCCTCCCCCTTTTTTCTATCCTATTGTTTCCCCAGGACACTGCCAGTTTAAACTAGCTGCCCTGTTCCTCCTCAATCTCCCATTAGCCCTTGCTATTGTCTACCGCGAGGCAAACAAGGCAAAAAACAAGGCAAAAACGCCACCCCCAAATGCCCAGGCTAATGCCTTGTTTGCCTCGTTTTATGGGGGCTCAAGAGCTGGCTAAATTGTGAATGGTGTTTTTATTTATTTATTTTTTGGAGCAATGAAAAACAGGCAGCCAGTTGTTTCGCGGGCGGGCCGCAAGGCATCACTTTCCCCTGAGCTCTCCTGCTCAGCTCCCTCGCACAACCCGCAGTGATGCCGGAAGCCAGACTATGATGTCAGTTCGGCTCCCGGCATCACTCTGCGGCGCGCGAGGGAGCTGAGCAGGGAGATCACACCTGCACGCCCGCCCGCCCAGCAGACCCACTAGACCCTAGGTGAAAAATCCACACAGCTCTCCCAAAAGCTGGGTGGATTTAAATTTAAAAAAATAATAATAATTGAGAGTGTTGAGGGAAAATGTGTGTTTGCGTCAGTGAATTTGAGTGAGTGTCTGTCAGTGAGTGTGTGTCAGTGAATGTGAGTGTGTGTCAGTGAATGTGAGTGTGACAGTGATGGTGAGTAAATGTGTCAGTGAATGTATGTGTGTCAGTGAATGTGTGTGTATGTGTCTGTCAATGAGTGAGTGTGTGTGTGTCAGTGAGTGTGTGTGTGTGTGTGTGTGTGTGCGTCATTGTGTGAGTTTGTGTCTGTCAGTGAATGTGTGTGTATGTCTCTCAATGAGTGTCTTAGCGGCCCTTTGCCGTTTACATATACATAAATATACATGTAGAATTTAAATAGATCTACATGTATCTATATTTAAATTATACGTATATATATATATATATATTCATTCTTTTTACATAATTACGTGATCATATTAATTAAAATTTGAGGGACCTGTCTGACAGCCCAATCCAGGGAATTTGATTTGCAATCCCTATATTTAACACTGTAACTTTCTAAAACACCATAAGACCTGTACATGGGGGTACTGTTGTACTCTGGAGACTTCGTTGAACACAAATATTAGTTTTTTAAAAACAGTAAAACGTATCACAACAGTATCATCAGTGAAAGTGCAGTTTTTGTGTAAAAAATGCAAAACACTAATATGAAAGGTAACTTTGGCCAGCGTTTGTGACTAAGTAGCTACTAAAAAAGACTGGACATATCCAATTTTGAATATCCTGGGTTGTCTACTTTTTCAAGCCTCTTCTCATAACGTGCAAAATCAGAAATGAGCAAGTCTTATATTTGAACCTGTAACTTTCCAAAACACAATGAAACCTGGATATGGGGGGTACTGTTGTACCTGTGAGACATTACTGAACACAAATATGAGTGTTTTAGAGTAGTAAACTAGTGATGCTTTACAACAGTAGCAATTTGCAAAATTGCTGCACTTTTACGGCCGCCCGCCAAGTCCCCACTTTCTCTAAAGTTCTCCTTTGCAATTTTCTATGAAGGAAAATGTGCAATTGCGTGGTTGAATCTATAGCTCCATTCATAAAATCACGGTAGCAATTTTCACCTGTCTATAGCTTCCTTCATAAAACTAAGGTAGCTCCATTTATATGATGAATCCAGTAATGAACTATATATTCAATCAACACTTCCTGTGTATATGGCATTGCACAATTCCCTTTAAAAACAATGGGGAATCTGAGTTTGCCCATCAATTCATGGTTTTGCACAAAAATAATCTTCAAATAGCTCCTCCTTCAGCATCTATTTATAAATTAAAAAGGAGGGGAAATATTATAGCACTCCCTCACATAGTACCACCAAGATCGCTTTCATAGTACTGCTACCGATTTTAAAGTTATTTTCTATAGGTAATCTAACTGTGCACCTAACGTCACACACATGCACACGTGACATCACACATCTAATGGGCATGTGCTTAATGTCGCATTTGAAAGCTTCTGCCATACATTTACATGAGGACTGACTAGCTGAATTATCACAGTCGTGTCCACAGCCATACATTTACATGAGAAAGTGTAAACAGAAAATGTACAGAAAATATGTAAACATATATTACACAGGTTTTAGAGAAACAGAGGTACCAAATACTTTTCAAATATAATAATAATAAATACCGTCTTTTTGTGCTTCGCCATGTATTACTTGGACCAGCTCTCCCACACTCCCTTTCCGTGTGCCTAAAATGAGGAAAGCACATCACCAGTGCAGTTAGTCATAATGTACAGCGTAAGAAAAGGCAATTGTCTGCCAGTGAAGCCACTGGGTTCATTGAATTTAAAGAGACACTCCACTCCAGGCATTCTGGACTTCAACCTAGGTGCAGTAAATAGGTTTTGGTCATATTTTCAAGCTGGATTTTTGTAGCTTTCTGCAAGATAACACTGCCTCTTCACTATGCCCCCTTTCCTCGCGTTTTTGGTCACACAGTGGGCATGGGTTAGCATGAGCCTGGTCTGGCACTGTGGCCTTTAACAGAGCCCCTCACTTACTGGCAGCCTGGGAGGAAGTGGCAGGTGATCACTTCCTCCCAGAGAGACTTGAGCTGTATGTCTGTCAGTGTGTGTATCTGTATGTCTGTCTGTATGTGTGTCTGTCAGTGTGTGTGTGTATATCTGCATGTCTCTCAATGTGTGTGTGTGTGTGTATGTCTGTCTGTCAGTGTGCATCTGTCTGTCAGTGTGTGTTGTATATTGTGTTGCTGTCAAGTACTGAACTATATATTCAATCAACACTTCCTGGGTAAATGGAAGTACACAATTCCCTTTTAAAACAATGGGGAATCTGAGTTTGCCCATCAATTCATGGTTTTGCACAAAATAATCTGTCTATGTATGTCTGTCTGTGCATCTGTGTGTCTGCATCTATATGTATGTCAGTGTGTTGTGTATCTGTATGTCTGTTAGTGTGTATCTGTATTTTTGTCTGTCTATATGTGTGCCTGTCTGTGTGCATCTATATGTGTGTCAGTGGGTGTGTAGCTGTATTTTTATATGTAAAAACCAACCTGTAACCTTGTTTAAACAGATACAAACGTTGGTATACGTGAAATAAAGCACCTGGAATCACATTAACTCAATATATCTCATATTTCATAGGAAGACATTTGACCACGGTATAGGGACTGAAAATCCCACTGGTGCAACAATGGACCCAGAGTGGCCAAACCCTTTGTAGATAAAACAAGAAAATAAGGGATCTCAAGACTTTAGATAGCATTTGCTGGCTGTAATAAAAAAGTTTGATACATACTGATAATGTTTCCACCAGACAACGTGGTCTTTATGAAATCTTTGATAAATTTTGATTTGATAACGACCACATTGTTTGGTGGAAATTTTATCACTCTGTATCCCTTTTCCCTATTAAAGCAAATGCTATCTACAGTGGTTGGACGCTTTATTTTCTTACACAATAAATCATAAACATATAAAAAAAAAAAACAGAACGTATTGATGCTGACAAATGAATAAGTGGTTTCGATAAAAACGTACCATTGTGTGGCTCTTCTTCTTCTTTTGGATCTTGGGACATAACCTGCATTAGAAACAGAAAATATTGTTTAGAAGAAAATGCTAAACACGATTGATAGAGTTGGGAGTTTTTCTAGATTATTAGGAGGTGAATTTATTAGACAGTGAACTGTGGTGAATTAAAACCTGAATTACTAAAAAAAATAGGCTGAACTAGATTAATTTTGATAATTAGCAATTTCTCCAAATCGGATAGTTTGGTTTTCCTTTTGCAATTATTTTTTAAGTTACCATCATTCATTATTTAATACATAAACCCTCTTTTAATGCTTGTTTTTAATCCCTTAAAACTTTTTTTGCCCTTTACCAACTGGCACATTATTTTCTTTATTTATCTATTTCCTTGCCTTGAGACTACAGCCTGATCTAAAGCCAGATTAACCAGGTTACCTGAATGGAAATTGGTGGTTTTTGCAAGTCTTCTGGTTCACCTTCATACTCTAAAGACTCAGTAGGTGACATTATATTCGTGTTGTGCGTCTGGTCTTCAACTTGCTGGGCTGTTGAGGAAAACAATTCACCTTAGGAACAGCAAACTATGAATATGCATTAAAATGGCTTTAAGATTTAATTTGAACACCAACATATCATAATTCTGTTCTCACCTACTTTAAAAAAAAAAAAAAAAAAAAATCATTATAAGGAATAACATTAAAGGGACATTATAGTCACCAAAACTACAGGTTAATGTAGTTGTTCTGGTGAGTATAACAGCTCCCTTCAGGCATTTTCATGTAAACACTGCCTTTTCATAGAAAAGGCAGTGTTTACATTTCCCCTAGGGACACCTCCAAGTGGCCACTCCTTAGATGGCCACTAGAGGTGCTTCCTGGCTCAGTGCTGCCCTGCCATTCAGCGTCCCCACGCTCTGCATGGAGACACTGATTTTCCTCAAAGATATGCATTGATTCAATGCATCTCTATGAGGAGGTCCTGATTGGACAAAACAGCATTTGGCCCTGCCCCGTGCCGATTTTAGCCAATCCAATGCTTTCCCTATGGGAAAGCATTGGACTGGCTAATAATCGGCCATTTTGATGATGTCACAAAGGGGGTGGAGCCAGCGCCGGCGGATCAGCACGGTGCTGGAAATAAGGTGAGTTTTATACTTTTATAGGGTGGCAAGCCACCTAAATGGTGGGTTTAGCACTATAGGGTAAGGAATACATGTTTGTGTTCCTGACCCTATAGTGATCCTTTAAAAAAGTTTAAAAAAATTATGAATAAATGATGAACATAAAATAATAACAATAAAAAAATGCAATAATTTTTCTGAACAGATATCCACCTCTAAACATGTCTTTTTCAGCTTTCAGAAGCAATGTTACCATGTCCAAGGTGTAGATATAAATATTTTCCTCAATTGCTTTAACAAATGTAATTCTATAATAATTAAATGGGATTAATGGCAGAGGGATTATGGTAATGAGCTAGCTGACTACATTTCCCATTTGATACTCTCTCTTACCCTTGGAAGACAATTTGTAGAGAATCAGCTAATGCCTTCGCCCAGTGAATGCCAGCAGCATATGAGTGGGGCGGATATTATTAATGAGAAAATGTATATTTCACAATAACTCTATGTTGAGTGAAAGGTTGGGCCACAGTCATCCAAGGGAGGTTTGTGTTGAAGTGCTAGTGCCACTATTATATAAAAGGCCATTTAAAATACAGGTTGTAAAACTACAACATCCAAAGAGGGAGAATACTCAAAGGACCACTATAGTGCCAGGAAAACATACTCGTTTTCCTGGCACTATAGTGCCCTGAGGGTGCCCCCACCCTCAGGGTCCCCCTCCCGCCCGGCTCAGGAAGGGGGAAAGGGGTAAAAACTTACCTTTTTCCAGCGCTGGGCGGGGAGCTCTCCTCCTCCGATCCTCCTCTTCTCCTCCCATGCGGCTGAATGCGCACGCGCGTCAAGAGCTGCGCGTGCATTCAGCCGGTCACATAGGAAAGCATTCATAATGCTTTCCTATGGACGCTGGCGTGCTCTCACTGTGAAAATCACAGTGAGAAGCACGCAAGCGCCTCTAGTGGCTGTCAATGAGACAGCCGCTAGAGGGAATGGGGGAAGGCTTAACCCATTCATAATTATAGCAGTTTCTCTGAAACTAGAGTGGTCCTTTAAACAAAGCATTTATGAGAAACCTCACAAAAAAAGAAAAGAAAAAAAAAAAGAAATGAGAAACCTCTACAAAATTATAGTTATGCCCACTAGAATGATACAACGTGTACCTTTTTCTTTTTTATATCTTCCAATTATTTTCAGCGAATCTGGAGAAACTTTGCTAAGGGCATTTTCAAGAGCGGTAAGATCATCTGTAGTGATAGTTTCCATTTTCTCCAAATAGCTCAGAAGATCAAGGAATGACTAAAAGACAGTTGGAAGACAGAATTTCTTATGTTTTCTTATGTTCTCCTCTTAATGTCAAAGACTTTCCATTAATGTTTTTTTCTATCATTTTCAAAGTTTATGGTTTTTTTATTTGCTCTATTTTCTTTCAATTTTTTTAAGTTTTAAGAAGAAAGAATACGTCTGTTGGTAAATGTATCTGTATATACATATATAATTTTTAACAGGGCCAAGATTAATTGTGCCTCCCTAACTAGGTAGGGTACTTTTATTTTGGGGGTGGAAGGTAATTAAGGAATTGGGGACCCCTAGCTTCCTAGGGTGGAATATGTGACAATTTGGGGGTGGACAATGATATGTCCATACCCCCTGGTATATTAAATAAGACTGCCCACCAGCAGTCCTAAGGAGGTGTTAAATCACTTTTGTTTCTGCCTATGCATCCATAGCCACACCTTCTCTGGCTGTGACTCACACAGCCTGCATGAAAAACATGGTTTCATTTTTATAACACATGTTGGTTTGCTTTAGAGGTTTTTGTCTCCAGCTCTGTAAGTTGAACTTTAATCACACACAGGAGCAGGGCCAGACTGGGAGAAAAATTCTGCCCGGGCATTTTTTTAACACAGCGGCCCACTAAAAAGGGGGCGGGGCAGAGGAGGTGTGTTTTGTCATCACCAATGACAAACACGCCTCCTCTTAAAGTGAGCATGTTGGTTCAATGCTCTCCCAGGGCAGACCATGCGCAGAGCTCTGCTGAAGAGCTCTAGCATGAGAAAAAAGTCCTGTATTTGTTCTGCACAGTGCAAGCAAATTTAATAACATGCTTGCACTGTGTTTCCTTGCAACTTGTCTCTGGTGTCTCTATAAATGGATACCAGGAGACAAAAGGGCCAGGAAAGAGTATTGTGCATGTGTTTGGAGCCTGCTTGTGGTATTGCGTGTGTGTAGAGTGAGCTGGTCATGGTGTGGTATTGTGTAATAAGGTCGGTTTTAGTCGTGTTGTGTTTGTGGTGTAAAGTGGTGTAATGTGATGCATATGTGGCTATGGGCTGTAGAGAATGTGTGTATTGGGGATATAGCAAGTGTGTGCATACAGGCTATAGTGTGTGTGTGTGTGTGTATATAGGTGATGTAGTGTGTGTTTAGGGGTGTAGTATGTGTTTGCTTACAAGGAATCTAGTGTGTGTATAGGGGATCCAGAGTGTGTATGTTAAGAGTGTAGTGTGTGTGTGTGTGTGTATATATATATATTTGGAAGTATTGTGTATGTTTGTGGTGCAGTGTGTTGGGGGGGTTCTGTGTGTATGTGAGGGGTGCAGTATGTGTGTGTGAGGGGTGCGGTGTGTGTGAGAGTGCCGTATGTGTGAGAGTGCCGTGTGTGTGAAAGTTGCCTTGGTGAGAGTGCTGTGTGTGATAGTGCTGTGTGTGATGGGTGTGAGAGTGCTGTGTGAGAGAGTGCTGTGTGTGATGGGTGTGAGTGCTGTGTGTGAGAGTGCTGTAAGAGAGTGCTGTGTGTGTGAGAGTGCTGTGTGTGATGGGTGTGAGGTGCTGTGAGAGAGTGCTGTGTGTGTGAGAGTGCTGTGTGTGTGATGGGTGTGAGGTGCTGTGAGGTGCTGTGTGAGAGTGCTGTGTGTGTGAGAGTGCTGTGTGTGTGGGAGTGCTGTGTGTGTGAGAGTGCTGTGTGTGATGGGTGTGAGTGCTGTGAGAGTGCTGTGAGTGAGTGCTGTGTGATGTGTGTGAGTGAGTGTGTGAGTGCTGTGTGTGAGAGTGCTGTGTGTGATGGGTGTGAGAGTGCTGTGAGAGAGTGCTGTGTGTGTGAGAGTGCTGTGTGTGATGGGTGTGAGAGTGCTGTGTGTGAGAGAGTGCTGTGAGAGAGTGCTGTGTGTGATGGGTGTGAGAGTGCTGTGTGTGAAAGTGCTGTGTGTGAGAGTGCTGTGTGTGATGGGTGTGAAAGTGCTTTATAAATGTTAGAATGGATTGTGTGTGTGTTGGGGGGGGGTAAATAAACAAAAACAAAAAACAGGCATTAAATCCCCCCCTCCCTTCTTACCTCCCTCCCTAGCCTGGGAGGGGGGGTCCGGCACGCTGGCACCTGGGACTGGGAGGCGGGGTGGCAATGTTCCCTGGTGGTCCTCATGGGTGAGTGAACTCTAGCGAGAGGAACCCGGCGGAACTGCAAGTTATCGCTCCGCCAGGTCCTCTCTCCTGGCTGTCTCCCTCCCTCTCTCCCCGCCGGCGGCTGCATTTGGTCCGGTGAGGGAGATCTTTGATCTCCCCACCGGCCCGTCGTGGCAAACAGCGGGGCCGGCGCTCGGGTAGCGCCGGCCCTGCATAGACCGGCAGGGGAGATCCTGGGACCTCCCCTGCCAGCCTCGGCCCATGGCCACCGAGGCCCACCGGGCATTTGCCCGGTGTGCCCGATGGCCAGTCCGGGCCTGCACAGGAGGCTCCTGTAGGTTCTAGACGACTGTTAACAGAGCAGGAGATATGAAATTCTAAATTAAACATAATTTGCAATAAAGGGAGTTTAAACATATCTCTCTTTACAAGAAGTGTTTAGGAAGACCGTGTGAGTCACATGAAGGAAGGTGTGACTACATTGCAAAAACAAAGTGGATGAACTACTAAATGGCAGAGAACTGAGCAGTGAGACTGCCGGGTCATGATCTATATACAAAAACTGCGTCATTAAGCTAAAGTTGTCTTGGTGCCAATAGCTTCCCTTTAATAGCCCCTACCTGTCACTTATTTTTTTATTTATTATTATTAGCCCACACCCACCGCCTGTGAGTAGGTGCTGGAGGTCAATATGTCCCCCCATTTATTATTATTTTAGCTCCCAACCGCTGACTATGGGGGGGGGGAGGAGGGGCGACCAGGACACTAAGTCCTCCCCATTTATTATTATTATAGCACACACCCAATAGCCCCCTGCTAGTGTTGTGAGTGGTCAAATACTGGGAGCTGATAAACTGCCAATAAACATTATTGATTATAAATGTTCTCAGCTGGATTGTAATCGAGGCCAAAATTACTTAAAGGAACCGTATAGGCAAAAAATGCATATCCTTTTCCCCCCCGTAACAGTAAACCTAGTGTCACTAAATGCTTTATTCCCCTAAATAGTGTAAAAATTAGCTATAGAAGCACATGTTTTTATCTTTACTTTTATCAGATTCTCTGCTCCTCCTCTGATTTCATGTCATATCTCCCTGCTTGTATTTCATCCAGACTGTCCACCAATGGCCATGCTCCGGTGATTCTCTGTGAGAATCAGTAATGACACGCCAACAATGACTGTCCACCAATGGCCATGCTCCTGTGATTTTCTATGAGAATCCGTAATGACACTCCCACAATGACTGTCCACCAATGGCCATGCTCTGGTGATTCTCTATGAGAATCCGTAATGACACTCCCACAATGACTGTCCACCAATGGCCATGCTCTGGTGATTCTCTATCAGAATCCGTAATGACACTCCCACAATGACTGTCCACCAATGGCCATGCTCCATTGATTCTCTGTGAGAATCAGTAATGACACGCCCACAATGACTGTCCACCAATGGCCATGCTCCAGTGATTCTCTATGAGAATCAGAGCAAAAACCGGGTCGCAAGAGTATTCTGAGATCGGACAGCAGCTGAAATAGCCTGCCCTTCAGTGGGTCCCCGCTCAGAACTCAAGCTGGTTTTAGCTCATCTTGTGCCATTACAGAGAGAACATATCTGAAGCATATCAGACTGGTCCCACCCATACGGGCAGTCCAGATCCGAAATGCCAGCAAATTCTCTCTGCACGAGAGATACAGCAACCCCAGACGATCGTTTCAGCCTTGGTAGGCATCATCAGTGAGGCATAGCTGATATCTCTCTAGGCACCGTGAGCAAGGGGTCCATGTCTGGATTACCCTTTATACTCTATGAGAATCAGTAATGACACACCCACAATGACTGTCCACCTAATGGCCATGCTCCAGTGATTCTCTATAAGAATCATTGATGACACGCCTGTGTAGGCAAAAACCCTTGCACCGGTCCTGCTAAACTCTTCACACTCTCCCTTCCCTGCAATGTCTATCCCATTTTATATAACTATGCAAACAGTTACACCAATTAAAAACCATCTGTTACAAATGATCCACTCTACCACTGCCTTACACATTTATATTACTTTTATATACAAGACTGGAAGTTTCCTTGAAGCAAACTCACTTCTTGACCTGCTTCCATTTAGTATCTGGTCTTGACCTTCTACTGAAACAACAAAAACCGAAGTGCTGCTAAATCCAGACACAGTTACTCTATTAATTCATCTTGATGTTTCTGCTGCTTTCATTGTAACATTGGTCTGTGTGATTCTGCCCTGTGTTCATCCTAACTGTAGAAAAAAAGGAAGAAAAAAAACAAAAAGGGATGTCTTATATAAAGACCGCCCAGAGGGTAAATACCCAGTCCAATCTCAACAGTAGTGTAGTTGCCAAAAAATAAAAAATAAAAAATCCTTTATTGAAATCTATTAAAAAACCTGGGTAATCAGTGATGGACAGAATAATATAGGGAGAAATATGTATGGTAGGAACAAGGCTAATCAAGAGCCAACCCTGACAAGAAACGGAGAGGGGATAGAAGGCAATATGTACCCCCATACATAACTCAGGTAACAAAGCAGTAGGAAAGAACAGGGAAAGGGAGAAACACACACTCCCAACCAAACAGTAGTGCTATGCTAATACCCTATCTCCTATAAAACACCTTCGTGGGTGTTCTAATCTAAATACTGTCATAACATCTGAAGCCCCAGGTTACACACACATACTAGAAAAACATAAATGAAAAGGTGCTCAGAGCAAAGTGCTCAAGAGAGTATTAAAAACACAGAAGAACCCGACGTACGTTTCGGCGTGACCACACGCCGTCCTCAGGGGTATCAGCAGTGAGCAAAAAACTGTCCGGGTGGTAAATTTATACCTTAAGCTCATAAGCTTTATTGTAATCACCTGTGATTGTGTCTAAATTGCTCCGGTCCTCCTGTGAATGGGGCTGTGGGGGTGTGGTGTAACACACCATAGTGTCAGCCCACATTTCTATGTCAGAGGTAGCCAGAACAGAAATCAGGTGAAAGGGAATTAACCCTTTGAGTGCCCCGCCCGGAACAGATATAAATGGATACTTACTATATCTAAAAGGCAGTATCCATAGCTTAACAATTAACCCTTGGAATGTCCAAATTGTATCATATAGGTCAAGTGTGTGGATTGATTCTTATGGCTGTATTGTGTAGCTTTAGTACAATTAAAGAAACAACTTATAACCCCTCCCACTTTCCAGCCTTTTGAGTTTCCTTTTTCTTGTTATTTAATTATATTGGTGTTACTCACCGTGTGGTCACCACCATTACTATTATCAGTTTTTATAACCTTTTTTCCAAACTACAATGGCAGGCTTTCTGTCTAAAAAACCCAGCGCAAGTACATGGTGTGCGGACGCTGATTCTGTGTTCAGTACTGAAAGTACACTAGATACACTGTCTCCCCCTAATATTCACACCAGCTTTAATAAGCTTACTAAACTCTTTAAACAACAAATTAAGATAAGCTGGGAAGTCTCCACTCTCGAGAAATACATCTCTAAAAATATCATCCCTAGAGGGCTAAGAGTTCAGACCTCTCCATCAAGACAAGTCGAGATGGAAGACTTCTATAAAGAATGGGATGAGGCAGCTACTAAATGCTCAAATACGTTCATGAGTATTATTTGTAAATATGAGTCTATTAAACTATCCAATGTCCAACTAGAACTGGATAAAGAGATTGAGGTGGTCCAGGGTTTTAAAGTAGAACCACAATTTGAATCACTAGAGATAAAACTCAAATCCAATCTGGACAAATTCTCTCACATTATAAAAGTGAGGAAACACCAGAAGTATATGAGAGATACAAAGGACTTTGAACAAGGTAGAATTTACTGTTCTTTTAAAAAGAGATCCAAAGTAGACTCTGACCAATTCAGTACATCTGAGTACGAATCAACCGATACTGAAACTGAAAAACCTCAAACCCCTACTCCTAGGAATCCAACTAAAAGTATTCTAAAAAAGGGGGTGGATTTTTTAGGATTAAGACAAGCGGATCTAACTCAGGGTCCGCACACCAGATACAGGGGCAGAAGTCAGAGACAACGCAGGGAATGATAGCATCCTCTCTGCGTATTATTAATCTCTCTGATACCATCCTTGGTCAGACCGAACTTAGCGTATTGGAGAAGGGTCTTTCATTCGTACCCATTCCAACATTCAGCAAGTTCAACTGGACTAAGGATGTAAACTTTTTTGTGAGAAAGCTTGCCTTGTATAAATACCATGCAGTACGTAAAGAAACTAAGGCCCAAAGCTTGGGTCTATCACCAAATGACTTGGAGTGCTTAGACACTCTGGTGGAATTACTTAACTCTGGAGATGGTACTATACAATCTGATATACCACATACTAATTTGAAACCCAAGAGTAAGTTTACCCCTCATTTTCAGGATTATAAAAATTTGGAGGTATTTTTGGAAATGGTTACTAGGGAAATAGATAAGGCAAAAATGGATGATTTTGATCTATCCCCTAATGGCAACCTTAATACTCAGGAACTAATAGCCCTGAAAAAACTACAGAGCTATACAAATTTGATTTTCAAACCCTCTGATAAAGGGGGCAATGTGGTGATACTTGACAGAGACCACTACATTCGTATAGCTGAAAGACTTTTATCCGATAAAAATACTTACCGCATACTAGTAAAAGATCCTACAAAAGCGTTCCAAGCTGAGTTAAAAACTATGCTTACTAAGGCTGTGAATCATCAACTCATTAATCAGGATGAGTTTGAATTTATGTGCACCAAACAACCATGTCTATCTACTTTTTATTGTTTGCCTAAAGTGCACAAATCACTAACCGATCCGACCGGTAGGCCGATAGTTTCTGGTTGTGATAATCTAACTCAGAATGTAAGCATTTATGTGGATAAAATTCTGTCCCCAGTAGTACAGAAGCTACCATCTTTCCTTAGAGATACTAAACAAATGTTGCATTTATTGACCAACCTTACTTTACCTCCAAACGCTATCCTGTGTAGCCTTGACGTGGAGGCCCTTTACAGCTCAATTCCTCATAACCTAGGTATTAAACATACCCGTCAACTATTAAATCTTGAAACTGACCTACCTGAACATTATGTGAATTTTGTGATGGAATTACTTGAATTCATTTTGACTCATAATATCTTTCTGTTCAATGGCAAAATCTTCCACCAGACCACTGGTACAGCTATGGGGACGTCTTGTGCGCCCTCATATGCCAATCTCCATCTAGGCTGGTGGGAAAGGTGTATTAGGGCAGATCCTAAGCTGAAATCATACACTAATCAGATCTTCTATTGGAAAAGATACATCGATGATGTGTTTTTGATTTGGCTTGATACATCAGAGAGATTCAAAGAATTTGTATGTCTGCTGAACAGCAACGATTTTAACTTACGATTCACTAGTGAAGTAGGGGGTCAAAACCTTTCCTTTCTAGATCTAGCACTACAGGTATCTAAAGAAGGCAAAATTGAAACAACCTTGTACAGAAAGAAGACAGCCTCAAATAACCTGCTATGCTGGTCTAGTCATCACCCCATATCACTCAAATCCGGTATCCCAATAGGCCAATATTTGAGACTTCGACGAAACTGCTCCACGATGGAGGAGTTCAAATTAAAAGCAAATGAGCTGCGTCACATGTTTAAGGCCAAAGGTTACCCAAATAGGGTTCTGAAAAGAGCCTATCTGAGGGCAATCCACACTGAACGGGAAACCCTAATTACAGATGGGGGTCGTAAGACTGAGGAAAATAAAATACGCTGCATAGGTACATATGATGCAGGATAGGACACTATGCTGAATGTCTTTCAAAAATTCTGGCCTATCCTCCAATCAGATAAGCATCTGAAGGAAATTCTGCCATCACTCCCTTCAATTACAGCACGGAGGGGCAAAAACTTGAGAGATATCCTAGCACCTAGTCACCTCTCAACTACGTCCCCGTCAGGTTATTTTCAAAAATACCTACCAATGGGTTCTTTCCAATGTGGTCACTGCAGTGCATGCCCGTTATTACCAAGAGGGCCTCTGACAGCAAGGGCTTAATGAATTTCAAACCACGTTCCTTCTTTAATTGTAACACAACAGGAGTAGTTTACCTACTGTCTTGCTCCTGTGGCCTAAAATATGTAGGCAAGACTTTTCGCCACTTCAGGCTAAGGATACGTGAACATGTAAATTCTGTCAAGAGACGTTTGGAAACACCCGTCTCAAGGCATTTACATCTACATCACAATCACTCCTCAGCAGGCATCCGGTTCATGGGTCTTGAACATGTACCACAGCCTCCTAGGAAAGGAAACTGGGACCTAAAACTAAGACAAAGAGAGGCGTTTTGGATTTACCATCTCAAAACGCTATCTCCCCTGGGGCTAAATGAAGGGTTTTCATATTCCCCGTTTATTTAAAGTACTGCAATAATTCTGATAATAAATGGTATCTTAAGTTATGCCTGTATATATGTATATATTCTTTATTTATTTCTATTATATTTGGTGTTCATATGTCCATTAATTTTACCTGTATTATAGGTCTAAGAGTTTAGGGGTCTGTTTTGTGTTGCATAAACTAATGGGTTACTATTTACAGTGGCAATAAAAGAATTGTCGGCTTCTGTGTATGACTGCCCATATAGCCATTGTACTTATCCCTTACTGGTTCACAACGGTTATAAGTTGTTTCTTTAATTGTACTAAAGCTACACAATACAGCCATAAGAATCAATCCACACACTTGACCTATATGATACAATTTGGACATTCCAAGGGTTAATTTTTAAGCTATGGATACTGCCTTTTAGATATAGTAAGTATCCATTTATATCTGTTCCGGGCGGGGCACTCAAAGGGTTAATTCCCTTTCACCTGATTTCTGTTCTGGCTACCTCTGACATAGAAATGTGGGCTGACACTATGGTGTGTTACACCACACCCCCACAGCCCCATTCACAGGAGGACCGGAGCAATTTAGACACAATCACAGGTGATTACAATAAAGCTTATGAGCTTAAGGTATAAATTTACCACCCGGACAGTTTTTTGCTCACTGCTGATACCCCTGAGGACGGCGTGTGGTCACGCCGAAACGTACGTCGGGTTCTTCTGTGTTTTTAATACTCTCTTGAGCACTTTGCTCTGAGCACCTTTTCATTTATGTTTTTCTAGTATGTGTGTGTAACCTGGGGCTTCAGATGTTATGACAGCATTTAGATTAGAACACCCACGAAGGTGTTTTATAGGAGATAGGGTATTAGCATAGCACTACTGTTTGGTTGGGAGTGTGTGTTTCTCCCTTTCCCTGTTCTTTCCTACTGCTTTGTTACCTGAGTTATGTATGGGGGTACATATTGCCTTCTATCCCCTCTCCGTTTCTTGTGAGGGTTGGCTCTTGATTAGCCTTGTTCCTACCATACATATTTCTCCCTATATTATTCTGTCCATCACTGATTACCCAGGTTTTTTAATAGATTTCAATAAAGGCTTTTTTATTTTTTGGCAACTACACTACTGTTGAGATTGGACTGGGTATTTACCCTCTGGGCGGTCTTTATATAAGACATCCCTTTTTGGTTTTTTTTCTTCCTTTTTTCTACAATTTCCAGGGTTACCCCCTTTTACCAGTCCAGGTGACCTCTATACTCTGGAGGCTCGGCAGTGGGATACGGGAGTGTCTTTTCCTCCCCTCCCACTTTCCAGCCTTTTGAGTTTCCTTTTTCTTGTTATTTCATCCTAACTGTGCTAGTGTTTGTTCAATGTCTCCTTTACTGGCACCAGTGTACCGTTTTCCCTTTGGTGTTCTAAATCCCTTCTGTTCTCCCTTTACACATCCATCCTGGGTTTTCTCATCATTACATCATTTAGGCTGATTGCATCCAGGTCTACGTATCTTCCCCCGACCCTTTCCTTCAGTATTGTCATCAAGATACCTTTCCTCTGTATCTCATAAGATCATTGTCTGTTCCTGAAACTCAGCCCCTCAAAAAAATACATTTCTTGTTTTTCCTTCAAATGCTCATCCTCAATTTTTAGCATCCCTTCTGCCACCATCAGTTCTACTGCACAGGCTCAGTGCCATGGGATCCTCTTTGATGGCAATCTTTTTTCCTCCCCTACCCACATACAATCAATCTCCAAATCCGCGAGCTTTTATTATAAAAACACAGCATGCATCCTGAAACCCAATGCATGTAAAACTTATTTTCCCAGATTTGACTATCTCCTTAACGAATTGAAACATGTTCATTGTTGGTCTCACTTAATCCCCCTCCCCACCCCTTTAATCTTCACATAGGGATGGTTAATGGGCCAAGGATATTCATGGTCTTATGGACCCCTGTCTAATGGGTAGCCATATAGTTAATTAAGCTCTGCTTACAATGCTTAAAATCATAATTAATGATGCTACCAGACAATTGTTCTTTAGCTCCTAATTCTTCCACATCTCACCACCTGTCAATACTTAAAAAATCATAGTCATTCAGGTTATTATCCATATTATATCAACTACCTTAGATCCCTTGTGGAAGAGCAATATTAAGTATTACTGCTGGGAGGCCAGAGACTTAGGAGCTTGTTTTTCATATTCTTGAGATAAGTGATATATCATAAATTGATTGCCTTTTCTGTTGTGAACAGTGATATACCTGTGTATATATCTCGGAATTTTAGTTCCTTACCTTGCATTCCTTTTGCTTTTTAGTGAGCTTCAGGAGAAAGATAATCTCTTTGTGGTCCTGTTTGGTAATGTTTTCTGAGATTTCAAACAGCATACGTCTATTTAAAAAAACAATATACAAAAAAAGATAGATGCAGTTTAAGTGGTTAAGATCCAACAACACCCTGTCTTTTGGAGGCAATGAATCCAGACAAATTCAGGTCACAGTGTCTGTTTTCTTTCTTCTAATATTTACCATTGATTTAGATATTGCTCCTAGTGCTGTTATGGCAATGTATAACCTAAAACAGCCATGTTGAAAAATTTAAAATGGGGGACAAAACACTTGTGTATTTTTATATGTACCTCTGCTTAAAAATGTTAAAAGTAACACTATAGCATTACGACGACAAACCTGTACTCCTAAAGCTATAGTAACCCTGTCTCTATTTAGATTAGTTGTCCCACTGAGTGTAACAGAAATAAGTAAGATGAAAGTTTTACTTATCTTTTCTCTAGCATCAAAACTCCTTTGGTGCTGGTGCCGCTCCACCTCCCCCAGCATCGTCATGGAGGTGTCGCATTCCAGGCATTCGTCCAATGCAATGTTCCTAACAGAGGAGTATTAGGGACGTGATGCACATAGGAATACTTTCTTGGGAAAGATGGTGATGGATGAAGCCTGAGGGAGGCGGGTAAAACGCGTCACACAAGACATTCCAAGGAGCTGAGGAACCCTGAGTGACTGAAACCAGTCTGATCTGATGCTGGCCATGGGTTTTTAAATATTTGTCATGCGTGAATGTGGGTACCCGATTGGGAAACTCACCACTATTTTAAGTAAGCTTCTTTTTTATTGTGTCTAAGAAATATATACATTGATATTGCACTATTGGGTTCTTGTTTATCTCTGGTTTCTCCCTGCTTAAGATCCAAGTTAATGATGATGGGTGGCTGGTGATTCTGGATATTGTGGGACATCTCCCCCCCAAGTGGAGCCTTTTATACCCAGAGCCAAGGTTGACAGAACTATGGTACATGTGAGTTGGATACACACATTTTTTCAATATTGTACTAATACACTTGTTTCAGTTGGTTTGTATTATTATCTGTTTATATGATAATTTTCACATTTGTTTTTGAGTTTTTCTGTGCTGGAATTTAGCAAACCATTTGAATAACAACAAAGAAGTCATTATATATTTTGTGACAAAGGTATGCAGGCTACAGCATAGATTACAATATTTTTGGATATCAACTTTGTGTGTACTACGGAATGCATTTACCATAAAGTGAATTCAGACAAATTGACAAGTATTTTGCAACATATTAAGTAGAAATGGAGAATAAGAGTAAAAAAAATCTCAAAACTTCTCCATCTTTTCCACCTTCCAGGGTATTCACTAAAATGTAAATCGGCAGTAGTCAAACTCTGCTCTTACAACTAACCTCCATTTCATTGGTTGAGCGCTGCGCTTGCCACACAGGCCCTTTTCATCCTCAATGCATTGGATTCGATATTTCTTTTACACATTTTATTGTTGAGCAGTTTTAATTTTGGTGGCAAATTTCGATTTCGTTTTAGTCATAGTAATGCACATAGCAGAGACAAGCTCCACTAACGCACGTCTGTACAGCTCTTTTGCTTTTTTATATATACAGTTGTGCTCAAAAGTTTGCATACCCTTGAATTTTTGGCCTTGTTACAGACACACAAGGTGTCTACACTGACAGACAGACACAAATACATAGACAGACACACATACGACGACAGACAGACACACACACACAAACTGAAAGACACAAACACACACACACACACACACACTGAAAAACACACACACAAACACTCACAAATTATTACATGTTTTAATTCAACTTTATTCCAACCAGCCTCCTTACCTTTGGGAGAGCTGGAGTGGATCGATGGGCCGCCAGCTGTGCATACTATAGGCGGGTGGGCGGTGAGGGAGCTGTTACTGTCCTGCTTTGCTCCCTCGTGTGCCGATTAGCGATGTTGGGGCTGGAATTTATTTTAGGCTTTATTGAAAACACTTTAATGTGCAGGGTTTGACAAATTTGCTTAGAATCTAGGAACCAGCAAAAAAAGTTAGGAGCCAGTTTTACAATGTCCAAAATAAAATTCTTAACCCCTTAAGGACCAAACTTCTGGAATAAAAGTGAATCATGACATGTCACAGGTCATGTGTCCTTAAGGGTTTAAAGGGACAGTATAGTCACCAGAACCACTACAGCATAAGACTGACAGGCACACACACACACTCACTTACTGACACACACACATGCACTCACTGACAGATACACACACACACTCACTCACTGACAGACACGCACACACTGACAGACAAACACACATCCACACTGAGAGACACACACCCTCACTGACATACACTCACTCACTGACATATACACTCACTGAGACACACACGCATTCACTATTACTGCAATAATAACACACATTTTGGCACATACATAAATGTGACCACCCAGCCTCCCTACCCTTGGGAAAGCTGGAATGGTTTGGCTTTCCCTTTGGTCCAGTGGGGCTTCAGTCATCACCTTGCTCTGCTCCATACAGCGCTGTTTAGTGATGCTTGGGCGGAATGACGTCATAGCCCGGCTCTTAGCATCACTGGAGGACGCGCGAATGAGCAGAGCTTACAGCTCCCTCGCGCACCTGTCCGTCTGCCTCAATCCTCCAGGAGCATCTAGCCTGTCCGCATGCCCACACTCTCCCTCAGCTGGCTGGCCGACCGACCGCTTGCACGCCCATGCTTTCCCTTTAGCTGGCCGGCTGACTGCCCGCCCATGCTCCTCTTGAGCTAACTGGCCGACCGCCCACACACCCATGCTCTTTATGAGCCAGCCAGCTGGCCATCCACCTTCACTTATACTCAGCAGACCACATCAGGGGCTGAATGGGCCAAAGAAATCCCAAGTGCCAGTAAAAAAATTCTAGTGGCCTACTCTGGGACAGACCACTAAACATCTCACTCACCCTCGGGAGACCACCACTCAGCATGTGCGACAACATTTGCAGGGAGGCCCGGAGTTCTACTTTCAATTTGTGATTGGACTTATGAGTCAGATGCTCTAGAATGTGTGAAGGACTGGGGCAGGTGTGATGGCAATATGTGGGACTTGTGCCACTCTTATCTTAGGGGCACTATCCATCCTATGTTGAATGTCAGATGACAAAAAAAAAAAAAAAAGAAATACAAACAGCCAAATACACAGTGTGAATGTATGTCTGTATTTGTCAATGTGTGTGTCTGTGCATCAGTGTGTTTGTGTTGATAGTATTACTGCTAAACTGTTTTTTTGTTTAGTTTTGCTATTTTGAGATTTCATTTACAACAGTAAAAGACAGGATAATGACAGGTTAGGTTATGTTAGGATCCTGCTCAAAGGGTCTACCTTGACATAGTGGCAGGCTTACTATTTTTAGACCAAACTATAGATGAAGAGTCTCCTTTCTCTTAATGTCACGATTCCGGAACCTAACACGCTAACAGGACACAGAGAGGAAAGATGCTATACGGGTCCTTAGAGTGGCCAGGCTAAGCACACTAAGAATAGTCAGGAGACAAGCCAAGTAAAGGGAGCCATAAAACGGGAGAACGAGAAACAAGCCGAGGTCAAAGGAGTGGAGAAGACAGGATAATCGGAATAACGAGCCAAATAATCAGTAACCAGAGAGAAACATGCGCAAACTGCAATACAGGTATCACAAGACCACAACAGGGCACTGAGAGACAGGAAAGGTAAGTATAAATACCGTCCTCACCGGCAGCTGCATTCAGGAGACGAATTGGCATTATTCAATCCACATCCATCCTCAGCCAGTCCGAGGGTTTACAACATCTGTCCACTTTCATAAGACTGGTAACAATATCATCTACTGTTCCTGACCTATATTTTTTGGTTTTTATACCTATTTAAGTAATTTTTATTGTTGTTTATAATAAACTGTTTTTTTACTATATCCAGTTTGTTTTACCTTACTTCAGTCTACAGCAATTGATTGACTGCTTTAAATACACAGTCCCAGTCACTTTGTTGCCTTTCTGCTATTATTTGCAACATTGCTATTATTCTTTGCAACACTGTTACTTTTATTTATATCTAGTTCATCATCCAGTGGAAGTGCTATTCACCGTGCACACACACATATATATATATATATATATATATATATATATAGATAGATAGATAGATAGATTTTTCCTTCATCTTTTTGACACATACTGTCTCCATACATTTTTATGGGCACGTCTTTTAGTTTTTAGTTTGGCACATATTCACTGCATTTATATGTCACCTAGCATTTATACCTTCACTTCTGTTTTGTTTTGCAGCTCTTAAAGGCACAGTACCCAACATTTTACACATTCTTTTTTTACACATTTTTGCATATTACTCATTTTATATATTAGTCACTTTATCAGATTTTAAGTTATTTTCACAAGTCAGCTCCTGGTATCCGTGCACTATCCCCTAGAGTGCTCTTCTTATAAATACCCTTTGCTTAATTCTGATTGGATAACTTCCAATCAGAATTAACAATCACACGTGGGAGATATCTACGCCTCCCACTGTGATTGTGGTACTGTTGCTTTAACGCCGGGTCAATTTGCATAAATTTGCGACCTCCCAGCGTGCAGCGTTATACATGCTGCTGCTGGGAGGTGTGGAGGACGCGAGCGGCGGAGAGGAGACGCCGCTCGCCGACAAATAGGAGGAGGGGAGACCAGGGGACGGCGACGGACTGAGGGTGAGTGCTGCAAGTGGCGTGCAGCCTCCCCTCACAGCCGCCCGCGGACCCCTGACATAACCCCCCCTCGAGGACCGCCTGACGGACTGGAAGCCTAAGGCGTCAAAGGAAACCGCGCATGAAAGGAGCGGATCAAAGAGGGCGGATTCAAGTCAGAGGCAGAAACCCAAGACCGCTCCTCAGGGCCGTAACCCTTCCAATTTACTAGATACTGCAACCGGCCCCGAGAAAAACGAGAATCAAGCAGAGCAGCCACTTTGTACACTTCACTGGAGACAGCGCGGGGGGAATCCGGACGCCTGAGAGGACCAGAGAAACGATTACAGAGCAGGGGCTTCAAAAGGGAGGTGTGAAAAGTGTTAGGTATACGCATGGAAGGAGGCAAGGCCATGGGGTAGGACACAGGATTGATCTTACGCAATACCTTATAGGGGCCAAGGAACCTGGGTGCGAATTTCATCAATGGGACCCTGAGGCGGAGATTCTTAGAGGACAACCAAACCCTATCACCCGGGACATAAGAAGGAGCAGCACCCCTACGACGATCAGCAAATCTCTTCTGAGTAGCAGTCGCACGAGAAAGAGTAGCATGGACCTGATCCCACATCTTCCGTAAGGAGGTGAGTTGCTCGTCCAAAGCGGGTATTCCCTTGTCGGAGAACACGCCGGGAAGGACAGAGGGTTGGAATCCATAAGCAACCATAAAAGGACTTAAGCCAGTGGACGAATGAGTCACAGTGTTCCTGGCGAATTCAGCCCAGGGAAGGCAGCGTTGTCCTGGTGCGCATTCGTGAAGCAGCGCAAATATAACTCTACAGATTGATTTGCTAATTCGGCGGCTCCATTAGATTGTGGAGGACGTAAATGATAGGAGGACGTAAATGACAAGGAGATCCCTGTCTCAGCACAAAAGCCCCTCCAAAACCGAGAGACAAATTGAGGACCCCTGTCGAATATGATATCTTGTGGTATACCATGCAAGCGGAACACCTCTTTGGCAGATACTTGAGCCAACTAAACCGCAGAAGGTAGTTTCTTAAGTGGAATAAAGTGTGCCATTTTAGAGAACCTATCGGTCACAGTCAAAATTACTGTCTGACCACCAGATGAAGGAAGATCTACAATGAAGTCCATGGATAAGTGGGTCCATGGTTTCTTGGGCACGGATAGAGGCATTAGGAGTCCCGGGGGTTTAACATTAGGGGACTTACACTGTGCGCAAACACGACAAGCCTGAGCATAATCCACTACATCTTGCTTAAGTGAGGGCCACCAAAATTGTTGAAAGAGACCCTTGTATGTTTTGGTAACCCCTGGGTGACCAGCCGTTTTGGCGGTGTGAAATAAAGCTAACAATTTCTTTCTATCTTTTTCTTTCACGTATAATCTACCAAAAGGTGTCTCAGAGGGTGCTTGGGTTTGGTATGTTTTGACACTATCAAGGAAAAGAGACGAAATAACCAAACGGGTAGCAGCTATTATCTTAGATGTAGGTACAATGGGTTCAGGAGCGGGGGCAATTGACTCCAAAGGTTCGTATTGTCTGGAGATAGCATCAGCCTTGACATTACGGTACCCAGGCCTATATGTGATAATGAACTGAAAGCGTGAAAGAAATAAGGACCATCTGGCTTGACGAGAGGACAACCTTTTAGCATCTGCTATATAGGAGAGATTCTTATGATCAGTTATAACCAGGATTTTGTGTCTAGCTCCTTCTAATAAGTACCTCCATTCTTTAAAAGCCATCACAATAGCTAATAGTTCCCTGTTCCCGATGTCGTAATTCTTTTCCGAATCAGACAGCTTTTTAGAAAAGTAACAACAGGGATGGAGGGGTTCGTTATGCGATAGTCTTTGTGATAATACAGCTCCTATACCTGATTCTGAAGCGTCTACTTCCATAACAAAGGGAAGGATCAGGATGGTGTAGCACAGGGGCAGTGGCAAATGCCTTTTTGAGAGTTTCGAAGGCTTTAACGGCTTCAGGAGTCCAAACCCTGGGGTGCAAACCCTTTTTAGTCAGTTTCGTGATAGGAGAAATGACTGATGAAAAGTTTTTAATAAACCTGCGATAATAATTGGCAAAGCCTATAAATCGCTGTATTGCCTTAAGGCCTTGAGGAAGAAGCCAAGACAATATGGCTTCTAATTTTGAAGGATCCATGCTGAATCCCTGTTCAGAAATTACATACCCTAGGAATTGTACTGATTTTTGGTCAAATAAACATTTCTCCAATTTACAATAAAGACCGTTCTGCAGCAATCTCTTAAGTACCATCCTCACATGGACATGATGTGACTCCAAATCAGGAGAATATACAAGTATATCATAGAGATAAACCATGGCACAGACATGCAGTAAATCTCTAAGGACATCATTTATGAGGTCCTGAAAGACAGCAGGAGCATTACACAGTCCAAAAGGCATGACTGGATATTCGTAATGCCCACTGCGTGTATTGAACGCTGTCTTCCATTCATCATTCTCTTTTATACGAACCAAGTTATAAGCCCCCCTGAGGTCTAGTTTAGTGTAATATCTAGAACCTTTAACACGGTCAAACAACTCAGTAATGAGATGGATAGGATAAGCGTTTTTAATTGTTATATTATTTAGGCCCCTGTAGTCTATACATGGCCTCAAATCGCCCTCTTTCTTGGCAACAAAAAAGAAACCAGCACCCGCCGGAGAGGAGAACCTTCTGATAAAACCTTTACGTAAGGATTCCTGTATGTACTCCTCCATGACCTGGTTTTCTTTCTCTGAAAGCGTGTAGACCTCACCCCTAGGAGGCATAGTACCAGGTAACAGGTTTATGGCACAATCATAATCCCGGTGTGGGGGTAGTTTATCAGCCTCCCTTTTTTCAAAGACCAATGCGAGGTCTGCATACACAGGAGGGACAGAAACAGAAAGTGGTCTAGCTGTAGGCACATTAAGTAAGCAAACGGGACGTAAACAGGCCATACAGTCTTGTTGACAAGATTCCCCCAGGAGAGTATATCTAAACAACCCCAATCAAGTACCAGGTTATGCTTAACTAACCAGGGAAAGCCCAGGACGATGGAAGTTGTAGGGGAGTCAATTATTTGGAAGGTTAACCTTTCCTTGTGTAAGGCACCCACGGCCATAACCATTTCTTGGGTTTCATGGGTCACCAGAGATTTATCAAGTGGTCTACCATCTATGGCCTCAACGGTCAAGGGTGTGGCCTTTTGGATCAGATTCAAGGCTGCGTTTTTTGCAAAGTTTTCATCCATAAAGTTGTCTGCAGCACCTGAATCGATCAAGGCTTTAGTTGATCGATTCAGGTTTGTGGTTTGATTGACCAAAAGAGTAACCGTAATAAATGGTCTGGAGATGGACACATGAGGGGAAAAAACCATAGCACCCGAGGCCGACCCCTCTCTAGGCCTAAGGTGCTGAAGTTTTCCCTGCAAACTAGGACAATTTCTTCGGAGATGCCCCCTCTTTTCACAATAAAGGCACAAGCCCTCCCTTCTGCGGTACGTTCTTTCAGCTTCAGTTAAGCCTACAGCACATAATTGCATGGGTTCAGGAGGTGGTTGATTAGGGGAAGGTAATGCTAGTAATGCAGTACTGGGTAAAGCAGGTAACCCCTGTGTATTCATCCTTCTTTAACTACGCCTCTCTCTAATAAGGTTGTCAATAAGAATGATATAATCTATCACATCATCCAGAAGAACAGGCAATTCCCTGGATGCTATTTCGTCTAATATGTAAGCGGCCAAACCCTCCTGAAAGGCTGTTACGAGGGCGTCGTTATTACAAACCACTTCAGCTGCCAGAGTGCGGAATTCAATGGTATAATCCGCTACAGATCTATTACCCTGTCGGACCCTAAGCAGAGCTTTGCCAGCAGAAGCAACCCTGCCGGTCTGATTCTGCAAAGGACATTGGGGACGTATTCTCCCACATAGGATTAGCCCATGCTAGAGCTTTCCCGGACAAGTGGTTGATCAAAAGGAAATTTTGGTTCTGTCAGTGGGGTAGGAATGAGGATTCATCACCAAATGAATATCAATTTGGTTGAGGAAACCACGGCACAACGCTGGATCACCGCTATAGCGCTGAGGTGGCGTCATGTGAACCACGTGAGCAGGAACGGGTACTGGATCGGGAATGGGTTCTAGCACAGCAGCAACAGCTTCTTGAACGGCAGGTTGCAAGTGGGCAGTACGAGCCAGTATGGTTTGTAAAGCCTGGGCAAACTGATCCATACGGTGGTTTAAACCATCCATTCTAGCCTCCTGATTTACTAACAACTGTGGAATGTCAGCAGGTTCCATGGTGGCCCTGTTGTAATGTCATGATTCCGGAACCACGCTAACAGGACACAGAGAGGAAAGATGCTATACGGGTCCTTAGAGTGGCCAGGCTAAGCACACTAAGAATAGTAAGGAGACAAGCCAAGTAAAGGGAGCCAGAAAACGGGAGAACGAGAAACAAGCCGAGGTCAAAGGAGTGGAGAAGACAGGATAATCGGAATAACGAGCCAAATAATCAGTAACCAGAGAGAAACACGAGCAAACTGCAATACAGGTATCACAAGACCACAACAGGGCACTGAGAGACAGGAAAGGTAAATATAAATACCCTTTGCTTAATTCTGATTGGATAACTTCCAATCAGAATTAACAATCACACGTGGGAGATATCCACGCCTCCCACTGTGATTGTGGTACTGTTGCTTTAATGCCGGGTCACGTGAGTGACCCCGGCGTTTGCATAAATTTGCGACCTCCCAGCGTGCAGCGTTATACATGCTGCCGCTGGGAGGCATGGAGGACGCGAGCGGCAAGCGGCGGAGAGGAGACGCCGCTCGCCGACAAATAGGAGGAGGGGAGACCCCTGGCACTTAAACACTATATTTGAAACTAGATCTGGATGAAATGACTGTGCGAAGTAGAGGTGGCTTGGTGAAGTGGACGAGTGGGGGGCTGGGGCATCAGTTGGTGTGGCAGGGTGGGGAGGCTGCCGATTTGTTCTGCTAGAGACCTAACCATAACCTGGTTAAAGTAATCCTTTAATGGCAACCTTGTCAACTATTAGCACCATCAATGCACTTGCTGTCCAAAACGTGAACTCATACCTTATTATGTAATCGGGACTGGTGGGCGTGCCTTCTAGTGGACTTCGACAGTGAGGCAACTTGCATCACTTATCACACATACAATGATTGGGCCCGCCTGGAAAATGGCTGACAGTCACCTGGCAAGCTCCCTCGTTGAAGAACTGCTTCTGAAGCATTCTCTGCATGGTCCAAATGCCCTCTGCACAGCGCGAGCATGTGTAATTATTATTACTGCCATTTATAAAGCGCCAACATATTCCACAGCTCTGGAATTATGTAATGATGCATTTGCACTGTGCTAATAGAGAACCTGGCAGTGGCGTACACACGATCCATGGGGCCCAGGCGCAAAAATCCGTGGCTGTGACCCCTGCGACCGCGGTATATACACGTCAGTGCATGCATCCAAACATACACTTAAAGGACCACTATAGGCACTCAGATCACTTCAGCTCAATGACAGACATACATACACATTCACTGGCAGACAGACACACATACACACTCACTTACAAAACATACACTCTCACTCACAAACACACACTCACTAACAGACACCAAACAGACTCACTAACAGACACACACTAACAGACACACAGTAACACACTCACTGACGCACACACACACTCACTGACACACACACACACTCAATAACACACACACAAACATACAACTAACACACTCAGTAACATACACACACACACACACACACACTGACACACAAAAACTAACTCACTGACACTCACTAGCAGACACACACTCAATAACAGACACACACTAACAGACACACACAAACTAACACACTCAGTAACAGATACACACTAACAGACACACACAAACTAACACACTCAATAACAGACACACACAGTAACACACACACACTAACACACATATCCACTCACATTTTTTTTAAACTTAATCCCCCAGTGTCCCTACCTTTGGGAGTGCTGAGGGGATTCCAGCTTTCCCTGGGGTCCAGTGGGGCTGCTGGGCAGCTGGTTCTGCAGGCGGCGAGGGAGAACTGATCCTCCTGTTCAGCTCCCTTGCGCACCGCTTACTGATGCCGGAGCCGGAGTGACATCATATTCCGGCTCCGGCATCACTGCAGTGTGCGCGAGGGAGCTGGCAGAGAGAGCTCAGGGGAGATTGCTCCCTTGCGCACCCGCCCGACCGCCAATTGACACCACTGCCAACCTCGGGGGGCCCTGAGGTGGCCAGATCCTGGGCCCCCGAGGAGAAGAGGCTGGCAATATGTGGCCGCACTGGCGTACATACCCAGTTTGCAGGGCTGTGACCCCTGCGACCACAGTATGTACGCCAGTGGGGCCTGTTGAAATGACTTCCCGCCGAACATGGGACTGTTAGAGGTCCTGTCAACCTGTAAACAAAAAGCCTGCAAAGGTGAATTTATTTTTGTTGTTCTTAATCTTGTGATACCACCTTACCAACAGCAAAGTTATTGAGTAAATCTCAAGGTGAGGCCTGTTTTTTAAGTTTATAAAGTTTTCTGACTTCTGCAGCTTTACTGGCAACAAAATGGTCCATGAATTTTGGATTGTTATTTTGTGTTTTGAAAATTCCAGCTGAAAGTCAGAAGACCTTATTGATTACTGACGCTGGATGGTGCTATAACTCATTAGATAGTTTAGTAAGAAAATACCTATAAGCAGTGATCTTCCCGCCTCTTTGGAGTATATCTTTCACATGTTCTTTGGTAGTGTTCAATTTTTTGAGGAGACTATGATGTCCAATAAGGTACAGCAGTTCAGCCAGTAGAAATGGATCACCTTCATTTAGGAGATCAATGTTCATCAGTGCCTCAAAGAGTTCTTGACCTGAAGTCATAATAGCCAATTTCTTGGCAGGCAGAAGGCCAGTGCAGAGATATTTCATAGCCTCCACATCTGTTGTGTCCAAATTGGAATCCAATTCGTATAGTAAGTCTATAAACTCCATGTTTAAAATTATAATGGACACAGGTTAAACCTGAAATTTGAAAGTAATGTGAAATAATGTTAGTTATAGGAGTAAATACAAATGCCTATTAACATGCCAAGAGTCTTGATATACATCAGTCACTTATATTATGTTTTCTACATTCTGTGAGTTAAAAAAACAAAACAAAAATGCCCAGTCAGAATTTTTATTTTTTTGCAGTTAAAAGGACACTTTAAGCACCCAAAACACTCAATTCTTAAAGAAGTGGTTTTAGTGCATAAATGTTGTCCCTTTTTCTGGCAATATAAAACATTGACGTTTAAGAGAGCAATATTTACATTTGGCCATAATCACGTCCTTAGTGGCTGTCAGGCTGAAAGCCAGTAGAGGCACCACCCCATTGAAGACTTACAATTTTTTAAAATATTCACATTTGGTGTAGTCAAAAGCTGTTAATGCTCCTCAAATAAAAACACTGGATTCAGTGCTCTATGAGAAGCATCTGATTGGCTGAGAGCTGCAATTATGCACTCTCTAATTTCATCATCTCTATTTTAGAATTCATAAAACTATTTAGAAAAGTTTTATTCAATGTGATTAACAAAAACTAAAAACCTGCTGTAATGTGTGATAGAAAATGTTAGTCTGTTTCAAGTGCTATACAATGGCAGTGTAAACATGCACAAACAGCTGTGCGTTACTAGTGATTTTTCATGCAAGTTTCACACTTGCCATGTCTAATGGTTTTTTATATTATTATTGATACTGTACTGCAGAGAGCCCCAGATGGAATTTTTTCCCCAAGTAAGTGGGTTCATCTCATTAGAGCAGACATTAGCCTGTGAGAGTAGGTCCTGCCAAAGATGAGGTACATGGACGTTGTAACTAAACCCCCCATTATTTTGCCTAAATTAGGTGTTTAAAAAAAAATAAAAAATAAAAATCTGTGAGCTTTGAAGCTGCTGTTTAGTGGATAAGTGAGTGCGCTGGATCTTGTGTATTGTGTATATATATATATATATATAATTACTATTTTATTATTATTTATATAGCGCCATCAGATTCCAAAGCTCTGTACAATGGGTGGCCTAACAGACATGTAATTGTAACCAGACAACTGGACGTAGAGGAACAGAGAGGTGAAGGGCACTGCTCAATGAGCTTACATTCTAGAGGTAGTGGGGTATAGTGACACAAAGGGTAAAAGTAGGGGTACGAAGTAGGTTGTTAGAAAAGTATTCACTGAGTTAGTAGGTAATTTTGACAGTTGCATTAGAGGAGTCATAGGCGGTGGGGGTTAAAAACCTGCTAACAGTTTAATTGATATGCTTTCTTGAAGAAGTGAGTGTTCAATGATTTTTTGAATAAATGGAGACTGGGTAAAAGTCTTACGGAGAAGGGAAGGGAGTTCCACAGAGGAGGTGCAGCCCTGGAGAAATCTTGGAGGAGAGCATTAGAGGTGGAAGTACGGACAGAGGATATACGTAGGTCTTTGGCAGAGCGTAGGCGCCTAGATGGGACATACTTGTGTATTAGGGAGGATAGGTAGGTTGGAGCAGCATTATGTAGGGACTTGTAAGCAAGCACCAGAATTTTAAATTGAGCCCTTTATCTAACTGGAAGCCAATGCAGGGACTGACAGAGTGGGGAGGCGTGGGAGGTGTGAGCAGACAGGAAAATAAGCCTCACATCCGCATTCATTATAGATATGGGAACACGTAAGACCACTGAGAGGGAGATTGCAGTAGTCAAAGTGAGAGAGAACAACAGCATGGACCAGCACCTTAGCCGCATCTGGCGCTAAATAGGGGCAGATGCGCACTATGTTTTTGAGATGGAAGCGACACGATTTGGCAATTGATTGGACATGAGGGGTGAAGGAGAGGTTGTAGTCAAAAAGAACACCCAGGCAGTGAGCCTGCAAGGTAGAGGTAAAGGTAGCGCCGTTGACTTGGAGGGAGACAGACACGGGAGTGGTAACACTTGAGGGAGGAAAGACCAGAAGTTCTGTTTTGAACAGGTTGAGTTTAAGGAAATGAGCAGCCATCCAGTTGGAAATCACAGAGAGGCAGTCAGAGACACAAGTCAAGATGGGCGGAGAGAGATCAGGATAGGAGAGGTAAATTTGCGTATCATCTGCATAGAAATGATAACGGAAGCCAAAGGTGCTGATGAGTTTAACAAGGGAGGTGGTATATATAGAGAACAGTAGAGGACCAAGGACAGAACCTTGGGGACGCCGACAGAGAGTGGTTGGGGGGAAGAGTCAGAGACAGAGAAAGAAACACTGAAAGAGCGCTGGGAGAGGTAGGAGGAGCACCAGGAGAGAGCAGTATCCCATAGACCAAAATTTTGGAGAATGCGGAGAAGCTGTTGATGATCAACAGTGTCAAAGGCAGCAGAAAGATCAAGGAGAATTAGGATAGAGTAATGGCCGTGAGATTTAGCAGGAATTAAATCGCTGGATACTTTAGTCACAGCCGTTTTGACAGAATGCCCAGCGTGGAATCCAGACTGAAGGGGGTCAAGCAGAGAGTTGGATTCGAGAAAGTCAGTCAGTCTGGTGTACACAACTCTCTCGAGGATCTGGAGGCAAATGGCAGTAGCGAGATAGGACTGTAGTTGGATGGGGAGTCGGGGTCAAGGCTGGGCTTTTTCAGAATTGGGGTTACAGTTGCATGTTTGAAGGGTAAGGGACAAGTGCCAGAAGTTGAAAATTTTAGTGAGACGAAGAGCAAGAGAGGGAGACAAAGTGCGGATAAGATATGAGGGAATAGGATCAAGGAAATATTTATTTGATACTGTTGATAAATGTGGTTACATACTGTGTTCATGTCATCCATATATACTGGGTATCTAAAAATTTAGTCTGGAGCCAATTTCTTATTTACTTATTGCAAGTAACAATATGATTTGCCCCGCACAAATTTAAAGTAAACAGCATATACCTAAAACCTAACTTAATCTAATGTGAAGACCGCTTGTTTGGTAATTTGTTCAGAGTAAACACGAATCCAAAGAAACTAAACAAAACTATAAATGTATTTGTTTTGCCAATCATATCTATCTATATATCTAGAAAAACAAACAGTAAAGTGGAGCAGTGCAATTCAATGTGCAAGCGGTTCTAAAAGTGTACAATTTAGTAAAATGTCACAGTATATATGCAGCATCCAAATCAAAACCCTTGAATAGAAATTCACAGCAACAAACCATATACAAAATGGTGCACGATTAAATTCAGATTCTGTGTTTTCAAATAGTGAAGATAATTTCTACTTTAAAAAAAGTCTTATAAAGTGCTGACAAAGTACATATCATGCTAACAAAGTAAAAAAAAAATCAAACAATGATGTGAAAATAGTGATAACCATACACCACAACATGTCAACATGTGAAATAGTTCAACATGGCTAATTGTTTTAATTTGCATTCAATATATATATATATATATATATATATATATATATATATATATATATATATATATATATATTCACAACTTTATTAGAGTTTTTAAAGTGGAAATTATCATCACAATTTGAAAGCACATTTTAAATCTATATTTTATTGTGCACCATTTTATATATTGGCTATTTATATCTCTACCTAAACACACTTGAGTGGGGGATGAGGGAGAAAAACAGGGCTGGGCATCATTTGTTGTCCTTTAAAATCATTTGGAGGGACATGTTGGCACATTTGTAGCAGTAACTCTCTTTGTCCAATAATCCAGATTCCACCCTATTGCCTTACGTAGTGATACTTCTGAATTGGACAAACAATATTAACAAAAGACAAGCATTAAATATCTCCCTTGCTCAGAAGCAAAACTGATAGGAATAATGTAATCAATAATCAGTATTAGTATATCAAAGTGACTTTAAGTTACAAAAGATACATTTTACCTTTACATTGACCACCTGTAAAGTCCAATTTTGCCATACAGGTCTGGAGCACAGTTTCCTGTATATAATGTACCCAGCTGTATCAGTGCTATAACTGCAGGGTATGGATCAGGAAGTGGGATCAGAAAAGCGATAGTAAAAGAGACCCTCACAAACACACATAAGGCGTTTACTTACTATATATCTAGTGAATAAAAGAGTTAACTTGTCTTACCTGTGAATGTCCCCAGTTCTGTCTAAAACGTCAGGTTATTAAAAAAAAGTTCATGTATTGAGCTCCTATTACAGAGCTCTCCTTCAGTCTGAGAACACACTTCCTGTAGATACACTGTAACTTAAACTACTCATTCCGGGTATGTCACCTAAGGACCCTCCCTCCCACTGCAAGAACTTTCAAACTTCCTTCTTACTGTGCTTGCAGTGTTATGACAGAAAAACACATGGCAATGTGTTAATACCAAGCATTAGATTACTGGGACAGTACAGTATATGCATTAATAAATCATGGAAACTTTTTAAATCACCTTTGGTTACTTTTTACCATTGTTGCTGCTATAGTTAGGGTTGCCACCTTTTTTGAAAAATAAAAATAAATAGGCTATTCTAATTGGCATAATTAATTATATATGCTTTACATCACTGCGCACAATGTCACCTGATGTTCCTAGACATCTCAGAGAGTGACAAAAACATTTAGAACAGGACAGTTTCCTAAATCACTAATAAACTATTCAGTAACGTATACACAATCCATGGGGCCCCGGTGCGAAACTGATCGTGGCTGGCTGGGCTGGCAGGCACGCGGGCGGTCGGGTGGGCAGACAGGCTCGTATTGGAGGCAGCGAGGGAGCTCTAATCTTCCTGCTCAGCTCCCTTGCGCGCCTCTTAGTGATGACGGGGCTGTAGTGACATCATATCCAGGCTACGGCATCACTGCAGTGCGCACAAGGGAGCTGAGCAGGGGAGAGCTCAGGGGAAAGTGCTCCCTCGCCGCCCACCTCCTACATCAGTGCATGCCAGCCTTAGAGGGGCCATGAGGTGGCCAGCCGGCCAGTTTGTGTGCCCCCTAGGACAAGAGGCTTGCAAGGCATTTGCCAGGGCGTTTGGGGGTGGGTTTTTTTTGCCTCCCCCCTGAAAGTGCCGCCCAAGGCAAATGCCTTGTCAGCCTCGCGGTAGATACAGCACTGGCACAGTTTACTTGACTTACCTCTGTCGTTCCCTCCCTAAAATTAATTGGAATGTATGGTACCAAGGAATGTTTTTTTGGGGTGGGTTTGGTGTTTGGTTTTTTGCAACTGCGGTGCACAAGGAGAATCACAAGGAGAAGATTAGCTCAATTACCTGATCTGGAGTTGGGAGTTGCAGGCTGTTCGGGCTCTTGGCAGGTTTAGTATATCTGTATGTTGGTAATTCACCCCAGCAGCTGAAGGTTAATGTTATTGCTGGTTTGTAAAGTTAATAAAGCTGTGAATGCTGCCCTATCTACAACGGAAAAGTTGTGGGGACTGGAGGGGAATGGGTTATTGTAGCGAGCAGTCATGGTCTAACAAACAATGCTGATCTTTTGACCAACTTTCAAGTATGGGAGCACTTGGGAAATAGTGATCTCAATATGGTGTATTTTGAAATGAACCCCAAAAGCACATGGGGTATACTACAAACATCATATTAAAAAAGCCAGTTTCAATAAAATTATGTCAGCTTTACAACTCATTGACTGGCATAAACTCTCTAGTGAAAAAAAGACTGAGGATAAATGAAATATCTTCAAACAAATATTAGAAATGTACACTTTTCACTTAGTGACTTAGTAGGAAGGTAAGCCAAAAAATTAACTATAAGAAAAGGCATTTAAAGCATTTCAATCAGACAAATCAGAAATATCCTATATAGGCTATAACCAGGCCCGGACTGGCCATCGGGCACACCGGGCAAATGCCCGGTGGGCCGTGATGGCCGTGGGGCCGAGGCCGTCAGGGGAGATCACAGGATCTCCCCGGCCGGCCCCTGCAGGGCCAGCGCTATCCGAGCGCCAGCCCTGCTGTGTGCCTCCATGGGCCGGTGGGGAGATCACAGATCTCCCTCACCGGCCCACAGGCACTGTTACATGCGGCCGCCGGCTGGGTGAGGGAGGGAGGGAGAGAGGACCCGGCAGAGCTCTAACCAGCAGCTCCGCTGGGTCCTCTAGCGGGATTCTGAGCGTTGCCGCGGTTACCGCCACTGGACCACCAGGGAAGGCAGCAAGGCTCCCCCTCCCAGGCAGAACGGCTCCCTCCCCCTCCCAGGCTAAAGGTAAGAAGGGGGGGGGGAACATAACTTTTTTTTAAATTATTAATAATTATTAATTATAATAATATTATAATTATTAATAAAATAAAAAATATATATTTAAAATAATTTCCCTAACAGCCCCCCCAGACACACACAGCCCCCCACACAGACACACACAGCACCCAGACACACACAGCACCCCACACACAGCCCCCACACACACAGCGCCACACAGCACCCAGACACAGCACCCCAGACACACACAGCCCCCCACACACACACACCCACACAGCACCCCACAGACACACACAGCGCGCCCCCAGACACACACAGCGCCCCCAGACACACACAACACCCTCAGACAGACAGCACCCTCACTCCCACACATATACAGCACATATATTATATAAAAAAACCCTCAGTGAGTTAACAGACAAATAAAATTAGAAACCCAGAATGTGACGGCAGATAAAAACACCCTCACACACAGCACCCCTCTTACACAAACACGCTGCGCACCTCACACATACAATACGTCCAAATATAATTTTTATATATATATATATATATATATATATATATACATACAAAAATCAAAACTGAGGATGCACTCACAGGACTTGGTTAAAGTGAAAAAAAGGGACTTTTAATTATTCCATGTGAAATGTACAGAAAAATCAATTTTCCATTCACATGGACTTTAATTAAAAGTCCCTTTTTTCACTTTAACCAAGTCCTGTGAGTGCATCCTCAGTTTTGATTTTTGTATATTTCTGACGTTTGGGATATAGCACCCAGGCTATTAGTTCTTTCTTATTACTTAAAGGAGAGTGCCAAGCATCCTGTTTTTTTGAGATTATATATATACGCATACCATTTGCACCCAGGCGGATATAAGGAATTCCAAGGAAGGAGAGTGCCAAGCTACTTATCTTTTATATATATATATATATATATATATATATACACACACACACACACACACACACACTACAGCACCCCTCACACTGCACCCCTCACACTGCACCACTACACACATTACGCTCCAGATACATGCTAGATCCCTTACCCTATATGCACTCTTAATCCTCTACACACATACACACACACACAATCTTCTATACACACTCTGGGTCCTTTACACACTAGATCTCTTACACACACACTGCACCACCTACACACACACTACATTCCTTGTAAGCAAACACATACAACATTATCTAAACACACCCTCTCTACACACAGTAGTGTGTGTGTATAAGTGACACACACTACGTCACCTATACACACACACTACTGCCCGTATGCACATACTCGCTACATCCCCTATAACACTATGCCCCTATACACGCACTCTCTACAGCCCCTAGCCACACATATTACACCACGAAATTGACCTATTTACACAATACCACACCACACTCTACACACAGGCAATCCCACAAGCATGCGCCAAACACTTTCCTGGCCCTTTTGTCCTCTGGTATCCCACTTGTGGAGACACCAGAGACAATTTAAAAGCAAACACAGCGCAAGCATGTTATTACATTTGCTTGCGCTTCGCAGAACAAATACAGGCAGGGCCGGTGCAAGGATTTTTGGGTACATAGGCGAAGATGTATCTTTCCGCCCCCCCCCCAAATAACATCTTCACCTATGTGCCTCTTAACCAGCCCCTCTCCCCGTCCATTAGTGGTCCCCTCCCTTCCCTGTCCCTTAGTGTTCTTCTAAGCTCTCCCCTCTTTTTCTTGTCCCTTGGTGTTTCTCTCCCCTCCCCTCCCTGTCCCTTGGTGCACCCTCCACCCCCTTAGTGGTCGCACTCCCCTTCCTGGTGTGCCTCCTACCTCTCTTGTAGTGTTGCCGAGTGGAGGATATCCCCTACAGGAGCTTCAATTTTCTGTACCTGGCCGGACTGACAGGGAGTGCTCTCTCAGTGAGCACCTCCGGTCAGTCTGGCCGGGTACAGGAAACAGAAACTCCTGTACTGCGTTCCACCACGCTACACTCAGTGGTGTATACACACTGACAGTCACACACATTCAATGACAAACACACAGACTCACTGATCTGACACACACTCATTCATTGACAGGCACACTGATACTCACACACAGACTCAATGACAAAGATATTCTCACTGATTTGACAGACACTCACAAACACACACTGACAGACACACATACACTGCCACACTCATACACTCACATGCAGTACTCATACAAGCACTCACAGACACACTCACTCACAGACACACATACTCATGCACACACTCAGTCACTCACAGGCACACAGACACTCCGGCACACATACACTCACACACAGACACACACACAATCACAGACAGTCACTCACAGACACACACTCACTAATTATTTTAATAAATAAACATTTTCCACCCAGCCTCCCTACCTGGAGAGCTGGTGTGGATGATGAATCATTCCCTGGGGTCCAGTCAGTGGTGTATCCTGGTTTTGTGCTGCCCTAGGCAGGACAAAACTCAGGCACCCCCCCCTCCCCACCGCGCCTTCTAAATACACACACACACACATATTCACTGACAGATCCGCATACACTCGCTAACAGAAACACACACACACACTAACAGACACACACTCACTGACACACAAACTCACACTAACAGACACACACAGTCAGACACACACTCACTGACACACAGTCAGACACACACACACACTAACAGACACACACTCACTAGCACACACACTCACATTCACTGACAGATCCGCATACACTCGCTAACAGAAACACACACACACTCACTGACACACACTCACTGACACACACACACAGTCAGACACACACACACACTCACTGACACACAGTCAGACCCACACACACTAACAGACAAACAGTCAGACACACACACTAACAGACACACACTCACTAGCAGACACACACACAAACTCTCACACACTAACAAACACACATTAAATGACACACTCACTGACACACACACTCACTGGCAGACACACATACAGTCAGACACACACATACACACTAACACTCACTAGCAGACACACACACACACAAACTCACACACACACTAACAAACACACACAAATTAACAGACACACACTAACAGACACACACACACACACACACTCACAGGCAAACACACACTCACTGACAGTCAGACACACACTAACAGACACACACTCACTCACTAGAAGACACACACTCACACAGTCAGACACACACACACACTAACAAAACACACACACATTAACAGACACACACTCACTCACTCACATTAACACTTTTTTTTTTTATTCACTCCCCCCCCCCACCTCCTTACCTCTGGGAGTGCTGGGGGGGAAGGGGTTCATTACCTCCCTGGTGGTCCAGTGGCTGCTGGGCGGGCGGCTGGCGAGGGAGCTCTTCCCCTGAGCGGTCTGCTCAGCTCCCTCGCGCGCCGCAAAGTGAGGCTGGGAGCCGGAATATGACGTCATATTCCGGCTCCCACGGTATCAGCAGACAGTGCGCGAGGGAGCAGAGCGTGGAGATTAGAGCTCCCTCGCCGCGTCTGATCACAGCACAGCCGCACGCCGCGCCGGGGATCCAAAAGGTGGCCTGGCAGGAGGGAGAGCTTCCCTCCTGCCGGTCACTGAAATATTGCGCCCCCAGAGCCGGTGCGCCCTAAGGCGGCCGCCTGTGCCGCCTTATGGACGCGCCGGCCCTGAATACAGGGCCTTTTTCTAATGCTAGAGCTCTTCAGCGGGGCTCTGCGCATTGAACCAACATGCTCACTTTCTCTGGCCCCGCCCCCTTTTGGGGGGCTGCTCTAATTGAAAAATGCCCGGGCCTAATTTTTTTCCCAGTCCTGACCTGGCTATAACGATAGTAATGATGCATGCAAAAAGGTGATTGGGGGGGGCGTGGCCGACTACGGAGCTGAACAGTCGCATGTCTGTGGAGCTCTGCATCGGCCCCACAGACTAAGAGCCTTAAAGAGGAGAAATCAGCTCCAAAAACGCACAGCTTACCTGCCACCCGACAGCCGACAACATGGGGCGCAAACACAAAAAACAAACCTACACGGAGCGACCCACGGCACCCGACATCAGGCTGGCATTCCAGAGGCCTACACAAGTGCGGCCCGCCAAGATGGCGCCGGAACCGCAGAGTGAGATAGAGACCTCTGACGACTCCCAGGAAGAGAGGGACTCCCAAGCCTCCCTCCCGGGCCCCACTCCCAGGTCTGACTCGGAGGAGGATGACTCCCCATCAACAAACGGGGACATCAGAAAGCTGCTGATCGACCTAAGGCAGGTCTGGAAGGCAGACTTAAAGGAGACACGTGCTGAAATAGGGGTCTTGCAACAGAGAGTCCAGGAGGTGGAGAACAGAGAAAGCTCCAGAGACCACCAACTCCAAGACACCAAACTGCAACTGGATGATCTTAAGGAGCAGGTCCGATGCCTACAAGGAGCGGTGGTGACACTGGAAACCAGACACCGCCGCCCCAACATATGCCTCAGAGGTATCCCTGAAACGGTGAGCGGTGAAGACTTACTGCCCTTTGTCCGGAGACTCACCTCCTCCATGGGCCTCAGGTGTAATTCAGACACCCCACTGATCCTGTCCGCCTTCAGGGTGCGCAAATCACCAGCGGCACCCGAGGGTGCACCCAGAGACACAATAGCTACCACCAGGGACGTAGCTGCGAGAGCTACCATCATGGCCTGATCCAGACCATTGGGGTCGGTAAAATTCGAGGGATGCGAGGTGGCCATATACAGTGACCTCCCGTTTGCTGTGCTTGCCGCAAGGAGACTACTAGCACCGGTCACTAAGAGACTGAGAGAACAATCGGTCCGGTACCGATGGGGCACAGAGGGATCGCTAACAGTACAAAGGGGCACCGACGTACTCACCCTAACCTCGGGAGACGATCCAGAGACATTCCTCAAAAAACTAGGCATATTAGCCAATGGACATAGAAAGCAGAATGAGAAACGCAATATTTAACCACTATAATAATGTTTTACATATACATATAAGCTTATATGGTCCGGGAAAGTTACTTACTATTCCTGTTACTCCTAACCCAGCACTCCATGCTATTACCCTATTACCCTAAATACCTGACCCCACGCATATAGGAGAAGCCGGAAAGATTGTTAAAAACTAACAGCCTCGAAATTAAGCAACCTCTTTAAAGGGGGATCTCCGTAGAAAGATAGAAATGTACAAATTGTTTCTTTACCAGGCCACAGTAAAGGATCTCTGACATTGTGATTGTTATTATGCATGTAGCCCAACGAAATGTTATTTGAACCTGTTCTAACCCATATAATAATATAATAACACATATAAAGGAAAAGTGTATACTTTGTGTACAAAACCAAATAAAAAAAAAAAAAAAAAGTGATTAGATGAGCTAAAGTATAAAATGTAGACATGCAGTTTCGGCAATTCGGACATTCGGATGCTTCCAAATGTCTGAATTTCCGAAGTGCCTAAGTGCCAAATTTTTAGGGTTAGGGTTGGGGTAAGGTGAGGGGTGGGGTTAGGATTAAGGTTAGGAGTAATGGGTAGGGTTGGGGTAGAGTTAGGGGTTAGGTATGGGGCTGGGGTAGGAGTAAGGGTTGGGGTAGGGATAGGGTTAGGGGTAGGGAACTGCCGAATTCCCGAAGTCCCAAATTTCAGAAGGGCCGAACCGAATTGCCGAAGTCCCGAATTTCGAAAGTCCGAACCGAACCAAATTTTTTGCCCATGCACATCCCTAATAAATTGAGAAAGTGAAAACCAAAGAGAGCAAGACCAACCCCCAAATAATTTTAAGTACATAAATTAAAAAATTGTTTTTAAAAGTGTAGGTACACTGAAATCAGCAGGGCTGTCATCAGAAATTTTGGGGGCCTTGCAAAGTTCAAGGACTGGGAAACTGGAGCTGACCCTAACTCCACCCACAAGGCCACCCCCAAATCCGCCCACAAAGATAAGTAAAGTTGATGAAGTCTGTATGACTATGTGATTATAGTGGATGTAGTATGTATGTGCATATAGTGCGTGCAGTGTGTGTATACAGGATGCAAGCTGTGTGTTTATCTGCATAGTAGATGAATAGTGTGTGCATGTTTATAGTAGATGTAGAGTATGTGTGTATAGTGGATGCAGAAAAGTTTGTGAGGAAAGTGGATGCACCAGTGTGCGTATAGGGGATGTAGAGAGTGTGCGTATATTGAATGCAATGTGTGAGTGTAAAGTGGATCTAGTGTGTGTGTGTGTAAATGTATGCAGTGTGTGTAGTGGATGCAGCATCTGTGTTTGTGTAGTAGATGCAGTGTGTCTATGCGATGCAGTGTCCGTGTTTGCAAGGTGTTGCCATGGCAACCCCGGGGGAAGGCTCTGAGAGCTGGGGCTTATGAGCAGACCCTGACAGAGGTGGAACTTGGAGTTTCCTGGGCCCCCTCTTCATTATAGAAGACAGCAGGGGGCCGCAAGTGCATATATATAATTGTACTTGCTACATATATGCACATTGGGGGTGATGGGCCCAGCCCGCCAGTGCCCTGGGTGGCACTGGCCCCCTACTACTGTTTAGTTTGTACCCCACTGATGGTGGTCCTAGACATCAGAGATGGGTTTGTTAGCAAATAGAGTTGAGCAGACACCTGGATGTTCGGGTTTGCCGAGTTCGGCTGAACTTCGTCAAAAAGTTCAAATTCGGGCTCGAACTTGACCCCGAACCCCATTGAAGTCAATGGGGACCCGAACTTTTGGGCACTAAAATGCCTCTAAAAAGTCCTGAAAAGGGCTAGACGGCTGCAAAAGAAAGTAAAATGGGGGTAAGAGTAGGACAAGTGCCCTGCAAACAAATGTGGATAGGGAAATCACTTAAAATAACATAAAATACATACAAATTAAAAATACAGCTGAGCCATATAATAGCACTAGATGGAATCTTTGATTTTAGCTTTGGAAGAACATAAATCAAAATCTAAAGCATGGCTGTCAGGAGGATCACCAGAATTATCTATTTGAGAGAGGGTTGGAGTGCAGGGTATTCTCTTTCATTGTTCAAACTGAGCTCAACTCCTGATACATGGAGAAAAGGCCTTCACAAGCCTCTGCTATTGTGTACATAGTTTATACTAAGTGACCCATAGGTTAAGGAGGCGGTGACCGTGGCGGTGTAGGTGGAAGCAGCGGTGGAGGAGGAGGAGGTAGCCAACACTGTTTTTTTTATTTATTTATTTTTTTTTTTTATTGGGGTAGCCTCCAAAATATTGGGACATATAAAAAAAGAAACATTTGCAGCCTGCGGTGCATTTCTTGCAGTCCAATAACACCATCAGGTTTTTTAAAACTGTGTGTCTCCACCATGACAGCATTTCAAAGGCCAGGAAGTTTGAAACGCTGGCATTCAGGGCCAGGGATCGCGAGTGGGTGGGGGGTACCCGTGGACTATAGTGCTCTAAAGCGACCTACACTGCAGGACTTGTGTGGAGCCAGAGGAATAACGCCTGGTGGGCGTTGTGGTGACATTCTGCACAGGCGTAAAAAGGCAGAATTGACTGCTGCGCTCATGGAGGATGACCAGGCACGCAGTGAGGCAGCAAACCCCAGCCAGATGCCGGAGATGAGGAGGGAGTGTGCAAGGAGGTCAAACAGCACCTGGCATATTACCGAGAGCCACCCTCAGAGGAGATCGTAAGCAGGACCTTTTTGGAGGTACAAGCCTATGTCCTTGCCAATAGACGGAGGGTGACCTCCATGAACCCAGATGAAGGAAGAAAGGAGCAGAGGGTGCCGGGAAGCACAACCACCCTGGCCCACAAGCTACCATACAATGCCTTCAAAGAGTTCAAGGAAGTAGAAGAAGGTATTGATGACTTTTTACAAGACTTTGAGCACCAGTGCCTACTCCAAGACGTGGACCCCAGCGACTGGGTCACCATCCTGGCCAGCAAACTAGTGGAGAAGGAAGCGGATATTTACCGGGCTGTACCAAAAGAACAGATCAGAGACTATGCCTTTATTACACAAATCCTCCTGGCCCGGTATGTGGTCACCCCCGAGCAATACCGCCAAAAGTTTAGGGAGACCCGGAAAGGGGAGAAGGACTCTCATGCGGAGTGGGCATGCCACATCACAAGGGCCACCCAGAACTGGCTCAACTTCCATCAAGCCAAGTTCCCGGAGGAAATCACCCAGCTCGTCATGCTAGAGCACTTTTTTAATGGGCTCCCCAACTACACGGCTGGTGAGAGACCGCCAGCCCAGAGACCAAAGAAGTATTGGTATGAGCTGCTGAAGCTAGCTCACGATATCACCCTTGGCAGGGCATTTGGGCAGGAGCC